GGCAAGCCGCAGCTGCAGCAATTTTTTTGATCCATATCATGACTGGTGTTCCACGCTCGAAACATGTGAATCGGCCTCACGCATGCTTTGCGCTCCAGGGATGGAACTGAATTTGAGGAAACAACAAAAGTGCACCATGGAGGTCAGGCAAAGCACGAACAGTACTTGTGTCCAATCGAGGCCCTGAAGCGCAGCTCAAGATTGCATTGGAGGCTAGCTTCAAACCCGGCAATTCCCTTCCCACAAGCTTGTTCTGCCTATCTGCAGGAAATTGCATCCCCAAAAAGAACTAGCTTCATGGCGATTGCATGATCGGTCAGGCATCCGCCCGGCAGCCATCGACAAACTTGGCGCCCTCCTCAGTCAGGTAATTGCCTGGGCGGGCGGCACCGAGTGCGCTGCACGTGCTCCCAAACAAGTTTGCACCCTTTCAGCTGCGAGCAAAGGCACAAACAATTGCCTCGGAAAGCAAAAAAGCTTTGCCCTCGTTCTCCGTAAATTCCTGGTTCGGGTTGTTGGCAAAAAGGGCCGAGCAGTACTTCCACCATTGCTCCTTCAGGGCCAGGAAGCAAGGTTTTAACAAAACCCACATGCAAAGGTCAAAAGACTGCTGCAACAATCAATTTTTGTAGTGCCCCAAAGTTCCATTTCGGGGAGCTTGGCAAGAGCTTTGGGGCACGATTGTTGAACATTGACCCTTCTTTCTGGTCACTTCCTGCAGGAATCTGATTTGGATCAAGAATCAATTCGCGACGTGCTTTTGCAAGACGTTTATCAACTGGAAGGCAAAAACATCATGGCGCTATCAATTCGACCTATGAAGGGGGTTTGCTTAAACTCGCAATTTGGCACCATGGAATGTCCTCGCAGTGCACATGGCTTGTGAGCTTGGGTCGCAAGAAGCCATTGTAGAAGCTCTTAATGACATCATACCTCTCGGGATTTCGAGAAGGCCTGTAGCGCTTGGCGAAAGTGGCCTTGGAGTCAGGGCTGGGGTCAACCGCATTCTCGCTTCGCTTGTTGCTCGCCTTCGCCTTCGCCTTGCGCTTGGGCTTGGGGGCCTTCGGCTTGTCCTCGGAAGCCTTTCGTTTTGGCTTGGCCTCAGGCTCATTGGCTTCCTCGGCTCCCTCGGCCGCTTTGGCAGGCTTTGGGCGCCGGTTAGATTTGGCCTTGGCTTTTGGCGCCCGTGTTGGCTTTCGCCCCTTTTTGTGCTTTGAGGGCTTGCCGGGGTCAGTGCTGCTGGAATTGCTGGAAGAGGAAGATGAACTTTCCGAATCCTCAGGTTCTTTTCCCACTTTTGAGCCATCATCCGGCCCCATAGGGGTAGAACTCTTTTGCGCATCCTTGTGCTTTTTAGTCTTGCTCTTTGCCAAATCAAGCTGTTTGTTCCGGATGTCGGAGTTCTTCCCAGGCTCCTTGAAGGCAGCTTTGCGGGGACTGGAGGCTACTGGTGGTGGATTCCCCTGCCCCCCTGTTTAGCCTGAGAGCCTGGCAGTGTTGGGCACATGTGTACCCCAAGAGGGTTCTGATAAGGCCCACATCCAGACGGACCCCCCCCCCTTTGCCGTCAATCCCTAGCAAGGAGTCTAGCACAAAACTATTAACGACATACGTGCTGGTTTCAAACTGGTTTAAAAAACTGTTATGTTGTGGATCCAGTATTGGTTCAAACATGCCCCCTGTTGGACCGGAGTTGGCGGAGCTTGGCTGGTTTTCAAAGTGGTTATTAATCGGCCCGTCCTGACTTTTGCTGATCGAGGCCTCGATACTGCGAAGATTGCCTTCAAGCTCGGAGCCGGGCTCCAAGATCGGCTGCGTCTCCGCGTCATCAATGCTGATCACAGAGGCACCTGGTGCGGTGTGCGTGGCACAGACTGCGTGCACATGCATACGTATGAGTCAAACTAGGCGAAGTTTCTTTTTTCATGTCCCAAATTGGAGGAAAACCGACGCGTGTCAAGCCACCTGTAGAACTGGCAGAAGCAGTCGTGCTGTTCATCGTGGGGGAAACTGGCGCAGCGCCGCCAGATTGGTTCCTGAGGCCAGGGCAGTTGCCTGTTTCTGTTTGTCAAACACGCACCTTTCGAATGAACACAAAAATCGGCAACCCGTCAAACATGTACTGCGTGTCAGCTTGGCTTCATTTTGGCCTTCACCAGACTGAGCAGAGTAGCCAGTTTTGTAGGTGACACCCCCATGCCTTGCAAACTACCAAGAGTAAGCGCGATGGAATCCTGAGAGGGCTCGCCCAGCTCCACAGTCTTGTTGGTCGTTTCCCCACTTTCTAAGCACTGCTGAACTTGCGAGTCTGGGGGCGGGGACAACTCAAGTGCCTCATAGTCGGGCAACTGCGAGTCGGGCAACTGCGAGTCAGGCAATTGCGAATCGCCGATCATCTCAGCCTCCTCCTTTTGATTGGCCATGCAACCGTCTGCCTTGATGTCTGAGGCAACGGGCTCGTGATCTTCGATCTGATCGCGGCTGCGGCTGAGAGCGCGGAAGATCTCAGAGTCACAGATTTCGGGGTCAGAGCCTTCTTGAGCTTCATCTGAGAAAAGGTAGGGAGATCGGCCCTCCTAAAGATGGTAGTTGTTCCAAACACACCAACAAAAGAAATTCGGAAACGTGGCATGTTACTGCAAGCACGGGACACTACGTGTGTCGAAGATTATACGGTGCAAAGGGCACAATTTGCAGCTTGCAAGCTAGCTTCTTCCCACGCAGTGTTGTATGCACGGCTGAGATCAAAGACCAGCTCACGGATCAAGGTGTCCTTGCATGATACCCAAAAATAGGCGCCAAACACAGGCCAACCAGTTTGACAAATCGACCCAAAATTTATCCTAGCAACTCGAGGCAGCTCCCACCTTGCCCACTTCCGCTTTATGACGTGTAGCATCCTCTTCACAACGTACGCCACCCCGTAGATTGAAGCTTTGACTGAATCAGCTTTCACATCAACCTGCATGAGCTCATAGTAGGCTGTAATTGGAGCCTTGATGTAGTGGATTCGATTGGTTAGGATGATGCCAGTCTTTGCCATTACAGAGGTGAACCCTCGCAAAAGGGTAAGGTTCAGCCGCAAGTTCTGCAGGGATGCTGGAATGTTTCCCTGCTGATTCGCATCCACCACGATCCGTTTTTTGTTGATGGCAAGTTGCCTCAACGAACGGTCAGATTCCCAAGCAGCGAGGCAACCCTCCACGAAAGAGAACGTGTCCTTGTTGGCCTTTAACGGTTTCTCGCCGCCAGCCATGCTATACAAACAAAGCGCCCCCGCGTTAGGTGTTCCCACACCCTTTCAAGAGCCGAAAAGCTCCCAGCTCCCGTCAAACCAAAAGAGTCATGCGACATACAGTGGAATCAGCGGCGGGGGGAGGGCGTACCGTCAGATCGATCTGCACCACGCCCGCTCCATTGAGCACACCTGGTGGGCGAGCAAAAAATAGAGCACAGCTAGTCAGCAGGGTTGGACCGACTGCTTGTTTGCAAACGCGGGGCGAAAACTGGCCGGCATCACCTGGTCATCGGAGCCAACATGCCTAAAAAAGGTTCCCGTGCTACATGATGCTGATCCAATGCTGGTGGTCTGATTCTGACATCTTGCTGCATGCTGCTGCTGCTAATTGCAATGTGGCGCAGTTTGCGCTTTCAGTTACCTGACAAAGGATAGGCGGCGACGAGCCTAGGCAATGCTTCCAAAATGGCATGACCCTCAGAACTGGTCGTTTCGGCATAACTGACCGTTCTTCCAAACAACCATTTGCACATGGTCGTTCAAGGTTGCAGGTAAGCATTTAGCTAATACCAAAGATTGGATTCGGGTCCTGCTGACTTACCCAAACTGTATAGATCTTTTAACCTGTCCGCTTTTTCCATGAATAGTCAAGGTATGTCAAGGTTCCAAGCGGTTCGGTTAATTCCAGGTCCTTTTGGGCAGAGGGCAGTAAAGACGGAACTGGCCAACTAGCCTTGAAGGACATGCAAACAGCGGTTCACCGGTTCAACAATATCACATTGCGCGTGGGTGTTCCATCGGTTTGAAGCGTTAGCCAGCCAACATCATTAGGTCTCTCGCAAATGCCGGCCAACGAGCAGAACCAAAGAGCGAAAGTGCTGAAAGATGCCATGGACTTGACTTTGGCGCTGGTATTTGGTTGCCACGGTGATGTTAAGTGTGTCTCACATTGGACAACCTTGTTGGTACGCAAGAACTGGAAGGAAACCAACAAGAGCAACTAACCATGGTTCCGGAACTTTACAATGTATGACAGATTTGAATTGGGAGGACGAGCAGGGTACACAGCAAACAAGAGTGCCCGTTGCTCACAAAGACGTTGACCAACTGAAGGGAGGCTGACATTTGAAACCCCTAAGTCTGGAGAGGTGTTTTGTTCGGAGGCAGGGTGCTACAGTGTGCTGGTTCACCCGTCATGCTGACTTTTCCGTACTTGAAACCACACGTGAATGATTTTGATGCTTTGGAAGCTCTCCACTGCCACCGAGCTTGGCAAGGCTCAAAAATGCTGCATTCACGTTTTTACCAGTCTTATTTTCTGACATGTGTGTAAGAGTGATGTGTAGCTCGACAAATCTGGATCGGCGATCTTGATGTTGGGCGCGCGTTGCAGGCGTGGGGGATTGCGATACGGATCTAAAAGTACGACATCAAAAGTGACGCGCCTGCTGGGGGCAGCGTAACAGCGCCGCCCTCCACCAACAAATCCAGCCAGCCAGCCAGCCAACCAACCAACCAACTAGCCAACCAACCAACCAACCAACCATCCAGCCAACCAACAACCAACCAACCCACCACCAACACAACAACCAGAAAACACAGCGACATCTTCAACGACACCTTCAACAACAGCAGCCCTAACAAAACAAAAACAAAACATGTGCAGCGAGCTCAACAGGTTCCTTCAATGCGGCAAAGTTTCGGTTTGAACGAGTCAAGGCCTCCAATCGGGTTCGGCGCGACCGCTGGGCTTCACGCGCAGGACACCGGCAGCCACGCCACTTCGGAGTTCTGGTGCCCCGACGAGGCCGTCACTGCCATCACCGAGCCGACAGCCTTGGCGCCGGCGGCGGCTGCGCCGGAGGTGCCGCCATTCCAGGAGACCAGAAGTCAGCAGGCGGGCGGTTTGGCGAAACCCTTGGCAAAAATGGAGGGAAAGGTGGTGAGGGGTTGTGAACATAAGCAGAGGGAAACGCCTGAAACATGGCGGCTGGCTTGATTTTTTTTTTCTCCAGCAAGGGAGCTTCTATCCAGCCAAATAGACCTGGCAGGGTCCAAACCATAGTTTTTGTGCGAACAGACATATATTACACATTTGCAAACAGGCTAACCATAAGGCAATCTAAATTACATGGTTTCATGAATGTGGAGATCCCCAGAAATGAGCGATTTCACTTTTGGTGTCCCTTTTTGAATGTGAACGCCATCCAGAAGGTGGGGGGAATTTGACGACAAGCCAGATGTGTCCCCCTTACGAAATCTGAGGCATTGGCTGTCTTTTGACAGTTCTACTTGCGTCCCCGAAATACATGGCCGTGGGTCAAAAAAACCAATGGGATCCCATTTTGGGGTAGCACCAGCCATTTTAGTCTATTCTAGTGTGAATTGGGATGTTCACTGGGGGTACGTTTTTTTTTTGGACCCATAGCCATGCTGGGTTGCGGTGTGGTGGAAGCCTGAAGCCGCGTCAGGACTTGGTGATGCTTCCGCCGCCCAAGGTGATTCGAATTGTCTCGGACGAGGGGTCTGGCGGCTTCTCGCAGTTCTCTTCCAGCCCCGCAAGCCCAAGCACCCGGTCGCACGACGAGCGGAGAACCCAGAAGTATTTGGATGCGACTGTGCCTGATCCAGTGACTGGTCCCTTGGTGCAAGATCCAGTCACTCGGATAATCCAAAGTGGCGAGAGGTACTTCTCACCACGTCAGGTGTACGGGCCTTCCTAAGGTTGGGGATGGCTGGGTGCCCTCGCCCTGAAAACAGCCGACCAACCAACCAACCAAGCAACGAACCAACCAACCCAAGCCAACCCAACTTAACACAACCCAACCAACCAATCAACCAGGGGTCTCTAATTTTAGACGGAGTATGCACTTTGCGGGAGTGCTGTCGTGTGCCTACACACGCAGCCAGTTCTGTGGGCGCTTGCTTCGTGATGTACGGCCCAGGCAGAGGGCGATGCAGCATTTAATATCTGTCTTAGATAAACAACTAGAAATCATAGGCCATGATATGAATAGTAATGATAAATATAGTAAGCGAGCTTTAAGCCGGCATTTTCCTTCCTAAGGCTTCCTCGGATATATAGAGTAATTACATTGCTTACAGAACGTGTGGTTTGCTGAAGGAGCAACTTATAATCTGGAAGTTTCGGCCCAAGGGCGTGACATGAATTTACTCGGGCGCTCAAGCTGCACTCCTGCTTTTCCACGAGCTTCATCTTGCTCTCGCAAAATGCGAGGAGATGTGCTGCTTCGCAGGAAGGCAAAATGGGAGCTAAGCGTGTTTTGATGTGTGGCGCTCAATCACAGACTCCAGGGCCTGACATTCCCTGCCTTTCTCAAATTGGACCGCGCTCCCGCCTCAAACAAGAAAACAGGCATGAAACCGAACCAATGTAATCGCTCTCCTGCGATATCCGCGAAGCTCCTTGCCATGGAGTTTGCACAGTTCACTGCAAAGGGGAATCTTCGCTTCGCAGAAGGGGTAAATATAACCTTCAGCCATGGGTCTGAGAATAGCTCGCACCTTGTCTGCCTCATAGCTTAACGAAAAGGAGGACCCATTGAATGAACCTTCCGGATCTTATTTGATGCATCCACGCAAACATCAACCAGAGTCTCAGAGCCAACCTCTGTTTCTTTGACTCAGCTGGAGAACCTTTCTGCATTTGGTCGCAGATTCGGGGACCTTACAAAAGGGTTTGGTGACTTCAGAAAGGGGGTTTGGAATCTCAACCATGAGAGGTTCCTTCTTGTGGGGAGAGCCATATGTGTTCTCAGGTTGGTGAAATATGGCTGTGGGTCAAAACCAATGGTACCATTTTGGGGTAGGTGCACCAGCCATTTTAGTCTATTTTACTTGGGATTGGGATGTTCACTGGGGGTACGGGATTTTGACCCGTGGCCATATTTGTGATTTACGCAGATGCCTAATTTCTTCTAACAAGCCGCAAGGGCCGCAAGGGGATGAACAATGCGTGCTCGAGGGGTTCTGCGTTTGCAGCCTCTTTGAAGCTCGAGCCAAAGGAGTTGGGGCCAGCAAACAGCTGGAGATGAGGTGAAGGCAGGGGAGTGAAACGTCCGAGGGAATGTGAGCGGAACGGAAACACACGAAGGTCCCTTGGAGTTTGGACCATTTCTTGAAAGCTGTGATGCAAAACTGCAACCACCAGGGTACTGTAGGGTTGAGCAAAAAGTGTTCGAACCAGACTTGCCCTTTTCAAAGGGCAAACCGAAAGTGTGTTACGAAACAAATCAGTCATGCACACATGTTCAAGAAAGTTGGCCCAAGACTGGCATGCGACCTGTTGATCTTTTGGTTTGGTATTGTTGGTTGAGCTTTAATCCATGATCAATGACAGTTCAAGAAGAACTTCCATGGTACAGGAACTGAGCTTCGATGGCTGAGAAATGAATGCAACGCACGGTGCTCGCGGAACCGCTTACAGACTTTCGGCGGGTCAACCTTTCAAAAATTGTGGCGGTTGTTTACTTATCCAGCCAACTAGCCAACTATCTAAGCTAGCTGGTCAACTAGCGTTAACTAGCTGGGTAGCACTGCTAGCCAGCTACTAGCTGGCTAGCCAACTAGCGAACAAATCAACTCGCCAACAAGCGAATGTTCTATTTAGCCAGCCGGAAATCTAAACAACTTGCTTGCAATGTATGGACTAGCCGGAGAAGTAACAAACTAGCTAGTCAGCTTCTTGGCAAGGCTCTACACGAGAGCCAGTTGAAAGATCACACCTGGCTGGCAAATGCCAAGCTGTGTTTGGGTGTGTGTTTGAGGCATCAATGCAGTCATATGAGTCATATGCTTACAACATGGAGTTCAACACGCAGCGATTTGACTAGCTAGACAACTATTCGTAAGTCTTTTTTTTTGCAAGATAACACACATCAACACTAATTATCGCACCGACAGACAGATTGATTTACTAGGGCTAGTTAGAGCTAAGTTGCTAGGTAGCAAGGTGGGTAAGCAGCTGACTAGCTGACCAGAGAACTATTGGCCAACAAGCTCATTGGGAACAGCAGAAGGCAGAAAACGCGCGGTTTTACCGGAATTCGGCAGGTATAGGCTGCTAACTCTGGTAGCTATGCACACTAAGAAAGGATGATTGCATGGCTACTCTCCTCTTCGTTTGGTGGCTAACTAGCTAGCTACTTGCTAACTAGCTAATGATGACCCGCCGGCCGGCAGGTGTCCCGCAAAAATGTGTGGAGCGGGGCGTTTGGGGAACTAACATGTGCAGCTTGGACTGGAGAGAGTCATTTGGCCACAAAAAGGAAAGCGCACATGCTTGCGCACACTGGCATGTTGCGGGGAGCGTCTTAGGCAAAGATTTATCACGGTTTGGGCGTATACATAGGAAGTACCTTGACCCTCAAATGACATACAACAATTTGTACAATAACAGGCGTTTGTGTCGAGAGAAGGGCGTTGTCACGAAGATGCCATGTACATGGAGATACATGGAGGATTATGCTGTTCAAAAAGCTCCCCAACAACACACACACAAATACAAGTTTCATTCATTGCGGGTTGTTTGCAGGTTGTTGCTGGTGTGTTGCTGGGTTCTGCCGGGGTTTGGCGGGCAAAAGTCGGGTGAGGACACCTGCAGCATGGACTGCCGGCCCCTCTGAAAGCCTTGGAAACCCTGCAGACTACACGTAGATTCTTGCCTCTCAAGCACCCACAATCCATTCGTTGCGAGCAAACCATGCAGTCCAAAGCGTTTTGTCGTTCATTCAGAAAACACATCAAGTACAGTCAATATCGATATATACCATATACATTAATATAATATATATATATAATCATATTTTGGATCGCTTTGTTTCATAGGGAGGGGCAGGGGGCGTAACGTTTCCCACTAAGTTGAGTACCCCTTGGGTGCAGGGCACAGTCACCCAGGCACCATGCTGGCCTCGGCCGGAGCCCCAGAGTTGGACCACCGGGAATCGGATCACCCCTGAGAAAGAGAAAGGTGGCCCAAGCCCAAACGACATTCCATTGCGCATGGAGGTCTTTTGAGCTCTGTCTGAGTTTTCTGAGGTTTTTTTGTTCTCTGTTTTGAGGAGAGCGTGTGTTTGGACACAAATTGGCTCATTGAACCGGCGCAATGGTGTGATTGGCTCAAGGAGGCGAAGTGGTTTCACTTGTAGACCCGCTGCCTCTGCTGACTCATTCGGGCCCTAAAAGCAAGGGAGGTATTTCGGATTTGCTTTGAGTCGCTTTGGGGGCTTGCAACTTACGAGAGCGTCCAGGGATTCCGGGTCCAAGATGCAGATACTTGATCTGGTGTTTGACTGAAAGCTAGCTCAAATGACAAGCATGGGGTTGTTGTTTGCAGCTTATCCAAAGCGAATCGACCACTTATTTCTTCACCACCTGGTACCAGTTGTTTGTGCACCGCGCTGGAATCGGAAGAGCATGGCGCCCGTAGACATTCTGAACCTCTTCAAGCAGTATCTTGCCGCCTTCAATCGGGAGGATATTGCTGCTATTGCTGATATGCTGGATGCTGATGTCGAGGTAGTGGTCAATGGGGCTTCAGCGGCGATGGGTAGAGATTCGATTTTGCCATCATACGAGAAAGACTTTGCCGCTGGCAAGAAGGTCTCAATTGGTGTAGAGCCCTTCATCGTGGACGGTGAACAGGACGTGGTGCAAGTGGGTCTTGTTGCAGTAGAGCCAGGTGCATCCGGCACCACAACCCTTTCGGTGAAGTATCACTACAACAGTGAAGGCCGCCAAATTCGACACGAAATCTTTGATATCATGGTGAAGCCGGACTGACTGTCTTTGCCACTGGACTTGGTGAATGAGTAGCTCCCAGAGCTGGTTGCCCAGGGTGCATGCCTCCTCCGTGTGCTTTGCAGTGATAAGTCGAGGCTTCCACTCACAGCTTCTCGTCACCGTTGTGCCAACCTGTGGCTTGGTTGGGCATGCTGTCCTGTTGCTGTGCACGAAGGTTAGTTGTTGAGCTATGCTCATAGCTTTCCCAGGGCAAGGCATCCTCATTCGTGAGTTCGTTGCTCGCAGAAACTTGCCTCTCTGCAGGCAAGTACCTGAGTAGATAGCACCCTTCCAGCTGCAGATACAACAACCTCAGCACTTGCAGTTGTTGAACAAGGCATACAACTTCCACCGTTCGAGTCCAACAAGCCGTGTCATACAAAAAATGCTGTGCGAGATCTGAAATGGGGTCGGAATCCGCTTGGGTCCTTAAATGGCTGAGGCTCTTCCCCATGTCTCAGCTTATGAAGTCGAGTGAATCATAGGTGCGGTGCGTCGCAAGCACAGCTCATGTGACTCAGATGGCCATTTGAAAGCGGTAACGAGCTTTTCTTGGCCGCAGAACTGAACCGATGCTGAAGTTGCAGTGACCTGAAGCCAAGTAGGGGCGTCAAGGGCTAAGAGGTGGGTGGGTGTTTGTGGAGGGTTGTTCTTTTGAGGGTGGTTCTTAATGGGGAATGAAATGGACACCGCACATGTTTGGAGTCCCCATTTTGACATCACAGGCACACACACACATAGATAGAAAAGTTGCGGAAGCTTGACCACCAAAGATCAGTGAGTGCATCTCATGGTGTCAGTCACACCTTGTTGACAGATGTGAGGTCGCCCGTGTATGTTGAGTCAATGTTTTGTGAAGGGCGATCGCCGTTCCTGCAGGGCTAAGTTGTGGGAGGATTTGTTGCCAGTTTGTTTTTCGATCCTGTTCTTCTTCCCTGTCCTTTCGTCTTTTGTCTTTGGGGGAAGCCTCCCTGTCCTTCTCCCCATCCCAGAATTTCCCGGGCCCCTTGAGTCACCTGGCCTAACCTTTCAGCCTTGCACTTAGGCGGTGAGCGCGGCGCTGAGCTGTCGCGAGGGATGTAAGACGAGCTCACCCATGACAGTTGTTTTGTTTTTATCATTATTGCTTATTGTTATTTTATTGGTTTCTTTTTATTACTTTTTTTTTTAAAAGAAATGGGATTCCTCATGTCCCTCGCCCTTTGGCAGATTGAGAGCGGCGGGACCCAGGGAGTCCGAGTCCGGAAAGAAGAATGCTCTGTTGCATGTTGAACTGTAGCATGGTAGCGGTGTGGAACTTAGCACACATTTCAATTGCATCTAGATGTTCCGCCCTTGTCACTTCGACCGCGTTTTGTACCTTTTGGTCAATTGGTCTCAGGAGAAACAAGAAGGTCTTCCGTGAAGGAGGGCACTTCTTTGTTTAAGGAATTGCCCATACGTGCGTGTGTGTATATATATAGATTCATACAATCATACATGTGTACATTATATATTTATCTTGGTTCAATTTTGGGCTGAGCCCTGTTGACTAGTACCTGGTCCCCAGGCCAAAGACCTGTGTGTGCCCCATGTTTTCTTGAGTGGAGTCTTAAGGGCCATGACGGTCTGGCGGGGGCTGTGATGAGAGTCTTACTCGTTTTGATAGAATCAATCGTCAGTGGTGTTGAGCGCTTGTAAACTGAACTGCAACACTGCTCTTTGGCGGCTGACCTTTGGTACGGAATTCTTGGAAAATCAGACAACTTCAGGAGGTTCTGTCATAGGGATTCTCCATTTGAAGCCAGTCCGGGCCCTTGAACTCGAACCGGAGGGTGTCATCGGAGGCTGCCCTCCAATGGAGGGAAGGACAGTTCCATCCATCCATCCATCCATTTGAGGGTGCCTTATTCAGATTGCAGACTCCATGTCTTTGGAGATGTGAAGCTGCAGCTTTGCCGAATCGACCTGGTGACTTAGACCTCTGTGGTCTGAAGTCATGCCACCCCAAACACCAAACCTGAGGGAAGGTTCCTGGAGCCTTGTTGTGGATTAAGCTGACCGTTTGTTGGGTTCTTCTTTCTCCTGGCACTTGAAGCAGCATGCTTGTCCTGGCGGCATACAGCTTGGGGCAGAAAGCCCAACAGACAACGTGACACGCACACGCACACGCACACGCACACGCACACCCACACCCACACCCACACCCACACCCACACCCACACCCACACCCACACCCACCCACACACACACACACACACCCACACCCACCCACCCACCCACCCACACACACACACACACACACACACACACACACACCAACCACACACACACACACACACGCAGCGATACCCTTGCACACGCCATGGCCCCGTAAGTCCTGCAATCTGTCTGCTTTGCCCAGAGGGCACCCGCTGAATCCCGGCAATGCACGTGCAAGCTCCCAAGAACATGGGACGCTGAATGTCAGCGTCTGAACTGGGTCAAACAGTTTGGGGGGGTGGAGCCTAGGGAGTCCTGGTACGGCAACCTGACGATTTCCGAGGTAAGATCGAGTCCTATGCGTCCTCAATCACCGGCATCACCGGTGATTCCCACCGGGTCGACGAGGCGCGGCAGTTTTTTTGGGTAGCTTGGGAGCTGAAGGGCCTGAACTGCAAAGCATTCTTCCCGCTCATTGGTTTGGGGATTTCGAGGTTAGAACGGTTAGAACACATTCTTTGAACCCCTCGACTTGGTGATTTGGAGGTTATTTCTCAAGAGCCAGAGGTTCAAAGCCCCAAGCTGAAACTGGAAGTGGATCAGGCTTTGGAAGACCATCCGCTGCAAAAGGCACCACCAAATGTCCACTTCCATGACTGAAGAAAGGGGGGATTTGACGCTTTGTCCAAAATGAGCTGGCCAATTCCTCAAGGTCGCTGCTGTTGTTTGCCCTTTGAAAGCACAGGGATGCCGTGTTTTGAGCGCCGAGTGGAATGTATTTGCATCCGAAACAAGTGGCAGGGGAACAGCCGGTAATGACACCTTCAGCGATACGGGCCAAGGATCCGTGAAATGGTAGGCCCGCTTTAAATCCCATGGTCTCTACGGTGTTTCCTATGTTCAATCCTGTGAGGGTTTTGGAGGTTGCTGTAATACATTTGTGTTGCCGGGGAAGAGCACAACGGGCAGCAACAGCCGGGCAAAATAAATCGGGCAAGCAAATCTGGGGAAAACAGTAGAAATGGCGTTTCTTCAATAACTCTCCAAACCATCCAATTTGAGATAACCGCTTTATTAGCACAAAAATAAGACTAACCAGTCACACAAAGGCTGATTCATGTTAATATCCGACTTATTAGGGGGTTGGGAAACTCCCAGATCAAAACTTTAGCCTTTTGCTTTTCAAAGGGTGGTTCATCCTAAGCTCTTCCCAGCTCAAAGGTCAAATCCTGAGCAATTCTAGAGATAGAATTGGCAACGCTAAATTATGCACTGGGACTCTAGAGGGTAAGTCTTGGCAATTCGAAAGCAAGCACTGGGACTCTGAAGGGTAAGTCTTGACTATACACAATTTAGAATTGGCAATACTAAAATTAGACTTGGTAATACGAAAGGAAGTACTGAGAATCTGAGAGTAAGGAATGGAATACTAAATGTTGAATTGGCAAGACTAAAGTAAGTACTAGAAATCTGGGAGAAGTCTTGGCAATATTAGACTTGGCAATGCTAAAGTAAGTACTAGCAAGTCGAAGTCCAACCCAGGATGGGCAGCGTGGGGAGCTTTCCGTCATTCTACAGTAGGTCCAAAGTTTTAGTGAAGGACTTTCTACTTGGGTCGTCGCTCGTTTTACTCCAACCGAACAGGTGGAGTTGATCTTCATGAGGCAGGCATAAAATGATTCGCATAGTTACGAGGGCCCTTGTGAAGGAGGAAGTGGACAGTCCAGAAAGAGGGTGCATTAGTGGCCCTTTTCAGTTTTTCGGGCCTGAGACTAAAGGAGGTTGAGACGAAAGGAGGTATCGCAGAGAATCCAAGGCTTGAACTCAACCTGTGACTAAAACAACCCGCAAAAGGCTGGGGAGTGACTCAGAAGCAATGCAACACAGCCAACCTTTGACATGCCCAGCAAGCATCCCTGACACTGACCGGGTAAGCCTGGCCAGCCAGCAGCCCCAGCAGCACCAGCCCGCATCCCCTGTATCCCCAGTCTGCATGCATCAACAGCCTTGGCTCTACTATCTTGACCCCAAACCTCTATCGACCCGAACAGTGTGTTCCGTCGTATGTTGCAGATATACTTCACATGCAAAGATAGATCGATACATAGATAGATGGCTAGATGGATAGATAGATAGATAGTTTGGATCGATTAGACAGATAGACTGGCAGATAGATAGGTAGATCAATAGATAGTTAGAGACATAGCTCGAGACATTGATAGAAGGTAAATAGTGGTAGATAGGTAGATAGGTAGATAGGTAGATAGGTAGATAGGTAGATAGGTAGATAGGTAGATAGGTAGATAGGTAGATAGGTAGATAGGTAGATGGAGGGATAGATATGCATACATTCATTCATGCATACATACATACGTACATACATACATACGTACATACATACATACCTACCTACCTACCTACATACATACATAGAGGCAGGTAGGCAGGGAGGCGGTAGGTCGGTAGATAGATAGATAGATAGATAGATAGATAGATAGAGAAATATGGATAGACATATAGATAGATATTCGATGGATGGATGGATGCATGGATGGATGGACGGACGGACGGACGGATGCATGCATGCATGCATGCATGCATTGATGCATTGATGCATGGATGCATGGATGCATGGAGGCATGGAGGCATGGAGGCATGGAGGCTGATGCATGCATGCATTGATGCATGGATGCATGGATGCATGGAGGCATGGAGGCATGGAGGCATGGAGGCATGGAGGCATGGAGGCTGATGCATGCATGGAGGCATGGAGGCATCGAGGCATGGAGGCATGGAGGCATGCATGGATGCATGGATGCATGCATGCATGCATGGATGCATGGATGCATGCATGGATGCATGGATGCATGGATGCATGGATGTATAGACAGATGGATGGACAAGTTGAGCCAGAGAGAGAGAGAGAGAGAGAGAGAGAGAGAGAGAGAGACAGAGAGAGATTCGCAAGGAAGCAATTGGCAATCCGAATGAAGACCAACATGCTTTTCTTCGCACGCGTGCGGGAGGCCATGCGCACAAGCCGTACGGGGTCAAGCAACACCCAGATACCTGCCAATCTTTCATTGCCACCTCTCGGCCCAGGTGAAAAAAGGAGATCCCCTGGCCGATGCGGCAGCTCGGCTGGATTTTCCCGGCTTGTTTTTGGGTTCAAGGGGTTGCCCTTCCAGTCACTCCTTGAGTTCCTGGTCTTTGTACATTTTGGGCTTGAACCATGTTCGTGGCAAACAAACAGTTTGGACTTTTGTTGGCCAATCCACTCAGGGTGTGTGTCCGGTCATTTTCCCATGTGAATTGTGGATTGGCCGACGCTCCAATTGACGAGCCCATGGCATACGAGTTATAACCCCGTTCTGTCCATGGACATGCGACGAGATTGTTTTCGAGCACCCTTTCAGGGAATGCACCGCAACACTTGTATGGTTTGAAGGTAAGGCAAAAACCAACGACACACTTTTGAGACACACTGAAAGTTGGCGACTAAGATGGCGGTAGTCTTACAACCCCCCCCTTGTCAGCTTCTATGAGAAAGGAATGTTTATTTGTCTTTGCCCTTCTTCCGTTGCCCATTGCAGTGACGCGTTTGAAGGACGAGGCGGATGAGAATGAGATGGCTCATGTAGATGGGGTGGCGGCCAAGCTGCACATGCAGGACTCAGCGCTGTTGGTCTTTGCGAAGACAAGGATATATGGGAGTGTCTGTCTTTTTTTGAGAACATCTTTTGTTGAGGTCGTGTCCAAGGGAAACCAAAGGAAAACCACCCTTGTAAGGGGTGTCCTCCAAAAAATGCAAGCCCATAGGTGTATGCATCAAATATGCGGGGCACACCGCCCCCCTCTTTCTGAGAACCAACATGTTCATGTTGGGTCGGATCAAGCTGGCCTGGCGCTGCCAACCCATGATGTGCGCGTGGGGCCAGCTCGAAATAGGCCCATTTGCCATCTAGTTTCCCCACGCCCCTCATCTTGCAGCATACATGTTGAGGCAACGCGGGCAAGTTTGCTGCACAAATGCTGGTAAAACAAAGGTGTTTTGCGCGCGTGAACAACTATGTTTGCAGGTGCCGCAAACTTGCACGACGGCAATGTAAGGGCCGTGTTGTTGGTCTCGTGCACTGTACTGCGATACCACCCGATGTTGCGCATGCTAGCGGCGCGAAAACACTTCCCCCCCAGAACGGCTGGCACACCTGCGCAACTGTGTCTCTTGCAAGTGCGGCCAAGCCCCGCCCCCTCCCCGCTCGTTGACGCACCACGTTGCCTGGCTTTGTTTACTTGGCTCCGCTTAACAATCATCCCAAAACGGAGTTACCATATTTTGAGACAAACCCATACCTATCAATAGACTCGGATTACTTGTCCTTTTTTAGGGGGCGTCGAGGAATCCCCTTGAAGCAGACTGCACGTTTTGTGGTGCCAGTTCATTTCCCGAAAGGGTCCATTGGTCATCGAAGCAGTCAATGTTTACCGTCATGTCATTGATCATTCTCACCAAATGCCAGTGCCATGGGATGGCTTTGTATTTCTTCTCTGGCGTCGACATGTTGAGGCCTGTTTGCTCCCGGGGAAGACAGATCCACTGGCTGCAGTATGGCCAAAGGGCAGCTGGGCAGCAGTTCTGTTGAGCCTGTTCTTGTTTAGATTGTTTCCTCGAGCCAATGCAAACACAACATGATCCGCAGAGTGACCCAGCTTTGTCTTGCTGCCAAGCTGGCCTTGAATTTGTACCACACGTGGGTTGCTGGTTGAGGGTGCCCGCAACCGCCCCTCAGGACTTGATGAACCACAATGCGGGGTGCGCAGCTCAGAACTTTTGAGTGCGAAGTTTCAAGGCCGACCGCTCTGACTGAGGGAAGTCATTGCCTTTTGGGTTCCATGCGAATTTGACTTGCTGGTGCGCTCGGCTAGGGAATGCAGGAATGAACTTGGAGATTCCCGAAGAAAAGAAACCACCCGTTGTTGTGTTTTTCTTCGGGGTCATTCCATGTCTCATTCCCTGAATCTCTCGCACCAGCAAGTCGAATCACAGAGAAGCCGCTCCGAGGAAGGCCTTCGTCAGACAGCCCAAGCCTGAGAAGAGAGAAAACGCGAGTCAGCGAGGTGCGAGTCTGTTGCTTTTCTCAGCTGGAGTTTGCCTTGGGCATAATTTCATTGGCTGTTATACCAGCTAATTTGAAAGACCCCCTTTGTGTAACAGGTGTTCTTTTTTAATGTAGCCTCTAAATACAAGTCACACTTGCTGATTTGCAAGCAGCTTGAACCGACCCTTGGACCTTTAACCTTCTTCTTTGGGGCCCGAGATTGAATTTGGTAAGATAATTCACTTGACCAAAGCGAATCAATTATATTTGAAGCAGACGTTTTGGTTGTTCCCATGTAATTGGCATTTGTTCAAGTCAAGGTTCCCAAAGATTTTGTTGTTCCCTTCAAAGCACGGCCATTCTTCTAATGAGCCGGCACGGAACATAATTGCCGATATACGTGTATACGTATTGACAACATGTTGTATGTATGAATGGATATACAAGCATACACAATCAAGTGTGTAATATCATATACTCACTGTTGTTATGTTTCAGTTTTTGCGTGCGTTGGTTCTGTCCGTGTCAGCGACTTCACATTTCTTGCTAACAGACAAGCGGTGAGAGGATACAGCCTGAACAAGTTCATGTTTGAGCTGATGCAGTCAGCGCTTCCCTGCACCTCATAAGGAACAAGTAATGCCAGTTTAGGACGTGCTCATTGCAACGGGATCTGAAAAGTCAATGGGTGGATGCTCAATGTGACTGCACCCTGAAGACGGGAGGCCGCGGTTTTCACCAAGCCTTGGAAAATCCATAGCTTATTTTCGCGCAATCCGATAGACTTGAAAAGGGACTGGACCAGGTATCAGCCGCGCCAATGTGTCCCAGATTCAGCTGGTCTTCTTGGTTTACCAACCGAAAGTCTTTCCATGGAAGCCACTGGGCTCTGGGTTTTTCGGAGGTCCAAGCGGGTGAAGCAAGGCATCTCCAGGCGCGGAGAGAGGAGGGAGAGAGAGAGAGAAAGAGAGAGAGAGAGAGAGAGAGAGAGGCTGGCAGAGAAATGTTTGAATGTCATCTTCGTGTGCCAAACAGCAGCGCGTGAGCACGCTAGATGAACACATGTGGCGCTTGAGCAGCGATTGCCACATCAACTTGCTGGCCGCCTCTCTTTTCTTCCGAGCTGTGTTGTAGAACCTGGCCGATTCAGGTTCCGGACGACCATCCGGGGAATTACAGGACGCTGGGTTAGGGGATTTGGCGTGGGGCGGTTTTTGCCAAGTCGACTTATTGGACATCTATTGGACAGCCCGCATTTGTTTCATCACGTTCGACATGGTCCTTGTCTGTCTTCTCAGAGACTATGTCTCTTTGATGTTGGGCAAGAGATGCAACTCTGCATACGTTCCCACGTGATTCAATCTTGTACTCAGCGTGATTTCTGCTCCAAACGCCGTTGACTTTAGCATGTGAATCACCTGCGGAGTGGCTGTGGAAGTCAGCTCCATTTCGCCAGTCAGTTGCACCCATATGGGTGTGGCTCAAAATTAAACAGGAGGGGTTACGCAGGTTTTCCACTTGCCAGGGTTCCATTTTGGTAACGGTTTTTTGAGCCACAGCCATATTAGTGGTTTCCTAATTGTTCCACTTCAAAACCATTTTGAAGGCACTGCCCATGTTGCGACACAGCAATATCGGCCTTGCTGGAAGTTTGGTACTTCTGACTTGGGTTCAAGCACTAGAGGCAAAGTTGCCATACACACCAGCAGATGCCATCATGGGTTGCTCAGTGGTAATAGACTCTAGACAAGCCACAAGGTAAGCAACGGCCAATATTCATAATCATGCACTGGATGAACGAGCTTCTTCTTGGGTGCACTTACCAAAATACTGCTTAATAATGAAGGAATTACTCAACGAATCCTCTTCGTTGGAGACCCACGTGGTTTCTTACCTCAAGGTTTGTTGCTGATTGCTGCTACCTATAGTGGCTTGCCAAAAAACCGCTTGCGTTTCGCAAGAGACTTGGGAGCAATGGGACTGCTCAAGGAACCTTGTTGGTCGGGCTTCCTGTCCCTATTGAACACTGGCTGATGGCCGGGGGCGAAACGATTTGGCCATGGTTCAAATCCAATGGGATCCCATTTTGGGATAGGTGCACCACCCATTCTAGTGTATTTTAGTGGGGATTGGGATGTTCACTAGGGGGTACGGGGTTTTGACCCATGGCCATTTATCAACCCACTGGATACCTTTAGTTTTGGAAGCATGGGGTCGATTACATGTTCGGAAACTTGCCAGGGATTTCAAGCCATGCGATTGGAGGCTGGACGCCGAATCAACGGATACGGCCCTCGTCAAGACGGGCGTCCCTCATATTTGCCTTGGAAGGGGTTTGCGATTTGCCGGCTTCCCGTTGGCTGCTGCCATGTTTGAGTAGGCTCAAGACAGGCTGCGGCTGAGGATGAAGAGCCGAAGGGAAGCACTTTGCGAAGCGAGCCTTGAGCTGTTGGAAGCTCACTCTCCCACCAGCCAACATGGAAGTGCACGGACCCCTGCAGAAAGACGACTTTCCTCTTCGAAAGGGCTTTTTGCACTTCCATGTTAGTTGGTGGGGTACCTGGGTTTGCTTGTTTGTGTGTATTCATTCTCATAGACTGTCGAGCTTCCACAAGCAGCGGATTGTATTATTTCCGCCATGCCTTGGGCGATTCCTAGGGCCATGGTGCAAGGATCCCAGACCTCCAATTGAGGTCTCATGCAGTTGCCCTGCTGGTCCTTTTTGGTGCCAAAGTGGAGAGGTGTGCTTTCATGCTGCAGGTCCCGATAGGCTGTCTTTTGGCAGGCTTCGCCTTGGCAGCTCTCACACTCCCCCTCAGAAAGGCGAGGGTTCTTTGCTGAGAAGATCAGCTCCAAAAACCTCCAGACCAGAAACAGATGTCGGGAATGCAAAAACAGCTACAGAAGAAAAGCCAATCCCCAGCTTGCAGGAACCCCCTTCTTTGACTTCATGATTGCGGTGCTTGTGCTGGTGGACATGGTGAGAAGCCCAGGAAAAAAAAACGCGAGTTGCTTGTCCGACTGCCGTGCCATGGTCAAACGACTTGTTTACGTGAAGTTGGTATGGATAGTCGGATGGTCATGAACCTCTTTCTAGGGCATGTAGACGACCATTGTAAGGGTTCCCGAGGGAACCGCGACCATGGCCAAAAGTCCTTTTCAGGCCATGTTGCTTCAGGTTTCAAATAGAGCCAAGCATTCACTTGGAACGGGACCTTTATGTTCAAAGCTAATAAACCCACACAAACACTGGACACAATAAGTAGATCAGTGCTTGTTGGAAGTTCTCAAGCCTTGTGAACCCATGTGGTTTAACAGCCAAGCCCCAGTTCCCGTAGAAGGGACACCAAAAGGAACGCTTTCGTGGTACAACCATGGTTTGAATAGCCGAAGCCTGGCATCCTTTTGCATCCTTAGGGTGAATCCTTGCCGAAGGTGCATTGAAGGGATGTATTCATAAATGAAATTCTTGACCAATACCCTAACCGATTTAATGCTCACAAGCAGTGGGATCCCGATCATTCACGCTCCGGAAAGAGTTTGCTTCCAGTCCAAGCTGTCAAGCAACTCTGGGAAGACGACTTGAAAGTTGATGCCAAGTAAGTTTAGGCGCTTACTTTGTGTGTTTCATATAGGTCACCTGGTCCATTTTGAGAAACATCCCAAATGGTTTGCAAGGCGATTGTCGCCAACTTGTGCAGATTCCAACCGCTGAGTCCTGCATCATCTTGCAGCAGGAGCTCTACCCCCAGGACAGCCGGTGATGCCAGCCGTGTGCCAGATAACCCATGGTAATTATGTTTGATTTCCCTCGAGCAAAGCAGGCGAGGAGCATTGTTACATTTTGCTGACCCCCCACCGAATTGAGCATCATCACTCTACTTCTCAAGAATCAAGAGGCTCTAGTCTTGGCAGCTCTAGCTGCCTTCGTCCCTCCGATTCATATTTCTTACTGGTGTTGCACCTTGGGTCATGCATGCTCATATTTTGTCGTACACATGTCTCATCTAGTATAAATGGTCAGGGTAGTTGCACATGTGTTCTGGCCAAGGTTGGGCCACTTGTTCGCTGTTGTGTGATCATTCACAGTTCATCTTTTGAACTTAGATCTTGTGACAAGACCTGGGTGGCAACATTCTGCAGGATTCCCTGAAGCATGGGGACTAGAGCCACATCAAAGCACTCTGAAGCTTGGCGCAGGTGTTTGAACATAGATGTCACTGGTGTCCCTTTGGTTCCAATCATCGCCCAGGGCCATCCATTTTCCCAAAAGGACACTTATGGTTGATATCTTCCAAAGACCACCCATGGAATTCACTCAGGACGATGCGATCCAGCAGGGGGAGCTGATGCTGTGAGCAGCTCAGAAAGGGACATGCGGGGAATGTGCTAGGGGCGGGCATTGCTGTGAGGTCCCCCAGTTGTGCCCTCTTTCTCACCCTTTTTTGGGGGAGGGTTCCCCTACTAAAATAAACTACAGAAAAAAGTTGGTACCCTTATTCTAACCTCTCTACTGGAGGATCTAGGTTGCCATCAAAGTGACAAGTAGTCAGCAGCGGGAGACAAAGCTCAAGTTGATACCACAGAGTCACTTGCCACCGTCTCACAGGTTTATTGCCAATGCTGGGCCAACCTCTGGCATCCGTTGGCCAATTTGTGCAGTCCGTTGCTGATACGAATCTGTTGTTTTTGTTGTTTGTGTTTTGTGTGTGTGTGTGTGTGTTTCGTGTTTTGGTGTGGCTTTGTTCTTTTTTGGGCTGGGGGAGGAGGGGGACGCAGGAGACACCCAACATGATGGACCGACTGCGTTGAGGCACTGAACGCGATCACCATTAAGAACGCGTAGACACCCAGAAGTGAATGTCTCAAAAGACTCAAAATGAAGAGGCCTATTTAGTCACTTTCCATACGGGATCGCCTCAATTTGGCGAAGGAATTGGTTAGTCCATGGCATCGAGGCGAACCGTCTCTTTGGCCGTGACGGTGACCTTTGTCGTGGAGTTCACCGCGCGGCTGCTGAGATTCACTGAAACTCAATCGACTGGACGCAGTCCAAAGGCTTGAATCGTTGGGATTTAATCCAGGTTTACTTATGTTTACAAAGAGATCTTCTGACCCTTTCAGTTTATTCAAGAGTCAAAGGTGTTATAATTGTAAACGCTTCGCACTGCCCGCACCGGCCAGGGCCTACTCGATTTAGAGGTTCCTTTTCCGTTCTTACTCCAGGCCTTGGGAAGCCAAGAAGCGACGTTCTTGCCTCCTATGCGCGCAAGTATCCGCCACTGAAGGACGACCACAGCTCTAGTAGCGCAAAGGTTTGCGAGGTGACCAAAGCCACGTGACTGCGTGGCCAGGCCGCGTGCCTTGGCTGTAGCCGCCAAGCCATAGCTGGGGCTTGTTGGCAAGGCTGGCCAAATCTACAGCCATAGTCAAGTCGTACTGGGCTGGGCTGGGCTGGACACATACATGACTGGGCGGCCGGGCGGCCTTGGCTGCAGCCGTTTAGCCCTCTTTGTGACGTCTTGTGTGTTTTGTCCTTGCACCCTCGTGCCAAGGAGCAGACAGTGGGAGGTAGTCTCCTGAAAATGAACGTGGAAAACAAAAACTCTTATGTTTGGATGTATAGTTGCTGCTTTATTGTTTGTATTTGCCGTTTTTTCCCCATTGGTTGTGGGTCGCTTTTGGTGAAGGCCAGATGCATCGGGCAGATCGGCCTGGGCTTCTCCTGGCCACCCTGGCAAGATTCTTGCTGACGCTCTGAGGGAACCGGTTTAATTTAATATGGGAACCGGGATTGGTTCCCACCTCTGTCACTTCTGCTAGGATCTTTCCTTTCCAATTAGAAGTTAACTATTTGGAAGGCCTTTCATTGGCATCACAGTGGGCAGTTTCCAGAACCCTGGGCAACCGTACCTCTGGGCGGTTGCCAGCACCCTTCGATTTTGACACTTTTCGGGTTTGGAGGGACTAAATATCCCACTAAAAGTTTAAACAACAAGCAACATTAGTAAAGCCCAGTTGCAATCGTAGACATGCTCCTTTCAATTCAAGAGTGATTTCCTTGGTACTAGGGAAATGGACTCACTGGATTTAGGCCCCCGAAGTGCGCCCTAAGTCAGCACTGGTCCACCAGGTTCCTCGCCTCTATGGTGGGAAACAGTGGTACATCTGCAGCCGCGCGATGTACCCAGCGATGATAGAACATCAACTAGTATCGTCGTTCCATCCCCAGGCGGGCTAGGCTTCTGCTTAGCAAGGACCAGCCGTTGGCTTGCATGTTTGCTCGCTTTGTTGTGTTTTGGTCTGTTTGTTGATTGATTGTTTGATTGCTTGATTGACTTATTTTCTTTGTTTTTCTTGGCTTTGCTTTGCTTTGCTTGGTTGCCTGGTTGGTTGGTTGGTTGGTTGGTTGGTTGGTTGGTTGGTTGGTTGGTTGGTTGGTTGGTTGGTTGCCTGGCTGGCTGGCTGGCTGGCTGGCTGGCTGGCTGGCTGGCTGTTTTGTTTGCTTTGTTTGTTTAGAATGATCCCTGGTTCCGCTTGGTTGGCACAGGGTGAGCTTGATTTGACTGGCACCCGCCGCGTGCGCCAGGATGCTAGTGATGGATGGGTTTATCGTGATCGGCTCCTGCGTGGAAGTGCCTGGGTCCTAGGGTTCCAAAGGCAGATAGCCTCCCACCCGGGGTTCCGCAGTTGAAGTACTTTAAGTGAAATTGGAACTCAGGAGAACCCCTGAATCAGCTCTACCTTCTGAAGTCAAAAATTGGAACCCCGCTCCGCCAAACATGCAAGACCAGCCACAACGTGATACAGTCCTTTTCCGCTGGTTTGCCTCGGTCGCGGGAAACACCCCTTCCAGCATGGAAGGCCACTTTGTCCATCAAAGCGGTCTTAAGGTGTGTTCACTTCAATGTTGGTAGGGTAAGTGGATTTTTCGCCAAGCCCCCAGTCTCGACGGAAGGGTCCCAAAAAGGGTCTCTCGACCCCATGCCCGCCGAGCCTCAAGCGCGCGACCTGCGGCCGAGGCTGTGGTTCTACGTGGATCCAAAGAATTCCCAAGGCCACTGAGTGAGAGGTACAAGACACAGGAGGGAAGTAGGAACCAAGTGAAGCGCTGGTGTGGGAGCCTTTTGCAGCTGTGTCTTCCACGCACGCCTGCCTGCCCAGCCAGCCCAGCCAGCCCAGCCAGCCCAGCCAGCCCAGCCAGCCACCCCAGCCATTGGCAGGGATGGTCATTCACTGTTTACTGTAAACGGACAACTACACAGCTGGACCCTTGCAACACTTTGCAATGATTTAGGAAAGCATCACAGAAGGACATGTAGGCCATGAGATGTTGTGGTTTCCTGAAGGGATTTTACTGGAGTAGGAAAGCTTGCCATGCTGAGGGGCTTTGCTGCTTTCAACCACGGATCAATTTGCTCGGGTTCCAACAAAATGCCACTTGTGAAGGTTCAGCAAGATCTCTCGATTCCTTGAATCAATCATGGATGTGGACCATGACAGGTTTTGAAGACTACTGTATGCTTGAAACGACCCCAAACGTCCACTTCCATTGTTTGGGAACGGGAAGCGCTTGAGCAGTTCACCGGTGTGTGTTTTTGCGGGTACCCTTTTCAGCTTATTTTTTTTCTTGGGAAACCAGTAAGAAAACCATGTGACTCCAAATCCCGATTCGGACACATTCCCCGACTCCCACTTCCTGAGTTCATGAACTGTAAACTTTCTGGGAAGACCATTTGAGTGGTAAACCAAACAAAATGGACTTTTGTGGGCCATCCACTCAGCGACTCAGCCAGTGAGTCACATCTCTCGCTCGTTGTCCAGTGCTCCGCTGGCTGCGGCCCCTGCGTGGCTTGCGCATCTTCCGGGCACTGCGCAGTACCGTGGCCCGCAGCTCGGATCGACGGAGCGAGGGACCGAAGCTGAAGCGACCTGGCGGTTCTTGAAGTTGCCACGATGTCCAGGTCCCTTAGCTTGCTGGTGCCCATCAGGGGAGGGAATGAACTTAGGAATTGGTCCCCTTAAAAGAAACCACCAGTTGGATGGTTTAGTTCGCGGTCATTCCACTTCATTCCCTTGACTGCTATTGGGTTGGATCTTTAGACTTTAACTTTTTGGTTGAAATCAAGTTGGGTTTTCCACTAAACCCCCAAAAAGTTAAACGTTTTGCAGGGGGTCAACAGCAACCAAGTTGGTGCCTGTTTATTTTGGAGGAGTTAAAGGAAATCGTGGCCCTTCTACACACACATACATACCTCTTCAAAGTAATCGGTGGGGTGTGGCGGTTTGATTTGTTTCTTGCAGAAAGTGAAGGGATTGACCCCGGAAAGTGAACGTGCATCTTTTCAAGGGGGAGGGAGCCCAAATAAGCCCTTAATAAGGCCTTATTTGGGCTTATTTGGGCTCCCTTCCCCTCCCCTCCCTCGCCCCCAGCCCCCATGATTTTTTGACCTGCGCGTTCATCCAAGCAAGTAGCCTGCTCATCTCACACACGCTTTGACTCCACTGGGGTTGGCTTATTGCGCACTTGCTCGTGTACTGCGTTACATGCATGGAGTGTCTTAGATTGGGGGGACCCCTCAGCGTTGTTGTTGTTCCATACTTATTCCTCTACTTCTTTGTTACGCCTTGAAATCCACCACAAGACAATATCCAAAAGGGAGCCACATCCATGGCGAGACCCGCCCTCACGCGCCTAGAGACTTCTACGCCGCTCTGCAGCGGCAGATTTGGCCTTCCATGCCTTCGAGAGGCGCTCGCCGCTCGGGTCGGGTCGCGGAGGTTGGGCACTTGGACTGGAGTTGGATTTGTTGCCTACGTCCCCCAGTAGTGCCCTTTCTCACCCCTTTCTTTTTTGGTTGGGAGGGTACCCCTACTAAAATAGACTGCAGAAAAAAGGGTACCCGTATTCTAACCTCTCTACTGGAGGACCTAGTTGCGTTACGCAATTTGCGATGCGTGCAGGTGGGGGTTGATCAGAAGGTCCTTTACATGGGATGACCATTGGGGGAAACCACTCACAAAATTATATTTCCCACACAATGAGAACAGTGACCCGATGGTCATTTGGGGGCCAGGAATATTGATCAACCCCATGTAGGTTCACATTCAACGGTTCCGGGTTTGTCAGTTTTGAAGGTTCACGAGAAATTGGTCTTTGTTTGTAGTTCATAGTTAGTTGTAGGTCGGAATATGGACTGGACCAGCATACATGGGTTTTTGGTTTGGGGCAAAGGCTGAGGTATTTATGTGGCACCGTCTTCGTCTGCCTGAGAAAAGTGAGGGAACCAAAAGGAAGGTGCGCGTGTGTGTGTGTTGGAATAGGAAACCCCAACATATCTTGCTTTCCCTTTAAGACCATCCCAACAGGGATGCAGTAACTACGATAATAGTTACACTGAAATGAACTATATAACTACATCTGTTGAACGTGTTGGATCCACTTTTCCAAGGTTCGTTTGAAAACCGAGCTGAATGGTACGATGTATCGTTGACGTGCCAGTCGAAACGGAAGGGGTCTAAAACATTACTAGACTGAGCTTTGTATACAGTCTGTTCTGTGATTTCTGAGGTCACCAATTTGCACCTGCCTTGCAGGTTCTTGACATGTCTTGACGCGTTCTCGGGGATACAAAGGGACCCCCAAAAGCGTCTCATGGGCGTGTTTGTTTGAGGGTGGCATTTGCGGCGGACACCAACGAGTAACCGCTTATTTCATTTTGGGGACCCCAAATTTTGAGACCGAAGGACCAGAAACGGCCACTGGAAAGTGTCGGAGGCAAGCCACGGCACAACCATGAATTGTGGTGCCCCGCAAGCTCGCAATACTGGGATACGCCGCCTACCAACTGCAGGATTTCGTCCATTCGCAGTAGTTTAGGCCGCTTCTATTGTGTACCGGCTGCCATGCTGGCACCCGGCTGCGGGTAGGCAAGCATGGTCATAGGAACTTCTGGGAACGGTGACGTGGCTGGCTCGGCAAAGCACATTCTATGGGCCATGCCGCCTTGTAAAGTCGGAATGGGCATTTTAAGCGTATGATTTTTGGACTTTGTGGCCTTCCATGTGGTAGGTTGAAGGGGAGCCCCAATGTAGCTTGACAACCGAATCTCTTCGACTTTGACGATCTCCTTGTGAACCACTTGTTTTTTTGTTAATCACTTGTTTCAAAAACCAGAATGGGGTTCATCTCCGCCCCGACCATTTCCGCCCGCCGCTTTGCCGCTTGTGCGCGCAGTTCGCTCAAGCCGCTGTCCGTTTCCTTGGTGCTGGCCTCACCTGGGATCGGTTCGGGGGTCGATCGGGAGAGACCATGTCCCTTCTTCTTCCTACATTCGATGTGCCAACAAGTCCCGTAGCCTAATGTCTTTAAGCTTCTGACGGCAGCAAGCAATGGTTGAGCACCGAGGATGGACTCCGAAGCATGGCACGTTTTGTCGGCACCATTCTTTTCCGGGGTCGTTTGGTTGAACTGCTAGCAACTGTCAGACTGACATGCGTTATTCAGATGGACTGATTAGGTGTATTTGGACACATGCATTTGTTTCGCCTGGTCTGCGAGCTGTCGCCATGCTCGCGCAGAGAACACGGAGTAGCCCAAGGGTCCAACTCCGCGAAAGAATCCTTCCCAAAACGCCATCCCCCCAATGGCCATTGTAACACACTTATCTCATTTGATCAACCTTCTGAGTCCTGCTGTTTTCCCTTTTGGGTGCATGTTAGTAAAAAGCCACAAGTGGGCCAATCCTTTTTGGGCCAATCCGCAGTGAGCCCCTGGTTCCTGCGCTGCCTGCGTCAATCTCTGTGTCTTTGGCCTGAGACGGTCATCGCCATTGCCACCATGGCGGCCTCCGTGGTCTTGACACTTCAGGCGATCGGAGCGATCGGATCGGGTCGTTGACATAGGTATGGGTCAAAATAATGCCACCAGGCGACTGCAGGTTTGGGTCGTTGTTTCCATTTGCCAGGGTCCGTTTTTGGGTACCTACTTTTGACCCACACCCACATCTGTTCACGGGGTTTGGCCGAAAGAGTGGGGCTGTTGCCTCCGAAGGGCGACCACAGGCAGCAGTTTGGTTTGAACGACTTCTCGCCTCCAGTCCAACAAAAAGCAACCTAGGAGGCCAACCATCGGGCGCGTTTGAGGGGCACCTGACTGGTAAGGCACACCCAAAACTTTGTGACACTTGCCATTTTGTCCGAAAAAGTTTCCCATCCCCTGACAATGTCTTTGGTTATCTCTTTTCAATCCCAAAGTTTCCCCGACTCAACCACAATTCAAGGCTATCAGATCAACACTTGCGCATGGGTTGAAGTTTTGGCTTAGGCCAAACAGAACCGGAGGTAGCCCTCGAAAATACGTAGACTTACGCATATCAATCAAGGTAGCTCAGTAATGGATATTCTATTGCTTGCCTCAATTTGCCTTACGCTAGCACAAGATCCAAAGAACTCGCCTTTGGGGAACAGGTTCTTCAGGAAACCTTGCGAAGCCTTAGGCAAGTGTGAGGGAGCCGTGTTCAATCAATTGGGGGTCTTGGGGGACAGGCGAAGCTGGGAACGTCCTGGGTGTTTGGAACACATCTTGAAAATACTTTGCATTTCTTCCAAGTTTCGTCTAAAGTGTCAAGGCAAAATCTAATGGGCCCTGGTGAACGGACCCTCAATTTGTTCCCGTTGCATCCCCCTTACTTGCCCCTTTTGTATACATGATGGTCATAGCTGAGACTCGCAGTATTGCATATACCAAAAATTCGGGGGCCATTAGATTTTGCCTGCAAAGTGGTCATTCGGGAATCGTGGCGGACAGGCTGGGCTGGGTTTGATCATGCTTCAGCCGACACCAGCCCCAAGAATTTTCTGTTTTAGCCAGAAGCCAAAAAAAACCGCGGTTTGGCCAACTTGTAGAATTTTCTGGGGCAGGTTTCTCTGGCTGAAGCGTCCTGTTGTTAGAGTGTGCCTTCAAAATTCTTTCCGTGGTCCTGGGTAGACCACACCTGGGTCTTCACCATGACCCATGACCCCCGACATGTCGGCCTCGGCCCAAAGGCCCAAAGGCCGAATTGGAATGGGGTGTCATGGGTGCGTAGCAACTCAACCAGAAGTCATGATCAAAAGATGTGGGGTGCCAAACCAAGTCATGATCCATGAGAGAGTGACAAATTATCAGCACCTTGCCAGTACTTTCGGAAATTTCGGGTGACCCCCTGTTCTGGCGAAGGTACCTGGCCTGATGGAGGAGTTGGAGAGTCCGGAATTGAAGCCACTCGAAGCGATGGAAGCCAAGAGGGCGCCGGATCGATGTAAATCCAACATAGGCAACCCAGAGTTGAACAGCACCTTAAGAAAAACAAGACCTGCTGCTGCTGACCCCTGTTGATGTTTGTTTTGGGCGTGTGCCAATTCAGGGGGGATGTGGGGATCCACTTGGAATACCTGCCCCCTGGATGGTGGACATGGCTGTTTTTTAATCTAGGGTCAACAGACTCAACATTTCCCCGCCAGAACACAGCTTATGTTGCCAGGGCTTGGGAGCTTACAACAAAGACCTGAGAGAAGATGGCGTGGCATCCAGGATGCCAAAACATAGACATGGTCGTAGATAAATGCTGTGCATGCCTGTTGATGGGTTGACCACGATCCCGGAAGGTGGGTGTGAGTTTGGCCCTGATTACGTTCGCCTGAGAAGCTTCAACAAATGAGTGCCCTACAAAACAGGTTTCCTCTTTATAAGGGGTAGCTATCTTTACTTTCATGCAGTTTTGACTTGTCCAAACCATGGTACTTGGGTGTTACCAAGGAATTTCGTAGATCATGATCAATGTCGGCTGCAAGCAAGCAGAAGTGGGGCGCGATCATTCTGGCATTCCCGGGCGCCAGGATATCAGTTGACGCATGCGTCAAAATTCGGGTACACGGCAAAGGGGTTTCCATGATTGCTTTCTCTTTAAAAGAGAAACCAGAAGTGGGGACGGGGGTGGTTCGGGTATTTTTTGGGACTGTTTGGCCGGCGTTGGGGACATGATTTGGAGGTCCCCGAAGTTCTGGACTACTTTCCCTTCCCACTTCCCCCACCCCACTCCCCCCTTCTTCTCTGAAATCAGACTCCAGTAAGTCCTTTACATGGAGAACATTTTGCGTGAGGCGGGAGATCCTGGACGAGTTCGGCTCCATCTTCGATGCCACGGCGAGCGTTATGAAGGCCATATTGATGTGGTGTGGTTATGATTGTGTGTTTGTGATCCAGGTATGGAAAATAGTCCGGTTGGTCTTCCAACAGGATTTGCGCTTGGGAGATCAAGGAATTCATCCGACCCAACCTGGGCCTCGGCCGAAACTGTTATATGCATTTTAAGGTAGACCAAATATAAAACAGAACTTGAACATGTGATTTTCAGTGTACCCCAGATGTGGGCAGAGCAGTGTGAGGAAGGTCAAGCAAGCAATGTGTCACAGCCACATAGCCCCCACTGGAAACAGCTTGTGAGCTGGAGCTTGTGGCAAGGGCGAGTGGGGGGGCAGCTACCTTCTCAAGGGGCCTAATGGCAACATCCGCCAACATCGGAAGTCTGGACACATGTCCTCTGGATTTTGCAGGTTCCCCCAGATAAGCGTGCCTTCTCAAGGACTGGCATGTTTGTTTGTCAGCCTTGGCTCTGGCAGGCATCACCAGTTCAGAGGCATCACCAGCATCAAAGGCATCACCAGCATCAGCAGCAGCACAGGCATCACCAGCAGCCATGGATGCGGACTTGCACGTCACACATCGCCAAACAAAGCAGATTCATATGTTTTTCCGGGCCTTCTCCGGATTTTGCGGGCCTTCTCCGGGTTTGCGAGCTCCCCCAACCTCTGCGTGCTCGCACATGTTTATTTTTGTTTTTCTATAAACAAGTTATGAAGGCACTGTCCACTTGGGAAAAGCCAATGGCCAAAAATGAGGTACTTTACAGTAAAAACGCACATCGGCTTTTCCCCGGGGTATCGTGCCTTCTCAGTGTTGTTTTTTGTTGTTTCTCTTCTTTCTTTCTTTTTTTTCTGGCGGTTCCCCCCCCCCCAGCCGGTTCTGCGTCGGCCTGATCAGATCCCCTGTTTGATTTCTTGGGGATCCTAGCTGGTTTTTGACCACAGGGAAAACAACACAGTTCCATTTCCAGTCCCAGGGCCCCAGATTGCTTGTGAAACAGCGCCAAAAGAGAAAGAGTACTCAGTGCGTTGAACCTTCGTGTGAGGGGGGGACAGCTGGGAAAGCAATCATCAAGTACATTCATGTCTGGGTATAGCGCCCTTTAGAACGGTTCCAAGCATTGAGAAGGCATGGTCCCCTGGAGAAGCCTCGGGGATGGGGGTCCAGACCCTCGACAACAGGGAACATGACAAGAACGGGGCCTGAAACGCTGATCTAAACACCTGTATTTGGAGTCTTCAAGGCAAAAGGAAGCTGATGTGTTTGGCAGAAGCTTTTTTTTGTCTTCCAGTAGACGGGATTAGGCAAATTGCAAGTTGCCGGTGTTTTTCCTCGCCGGAAATTTGAGCAATGTTGTTTATTTTGTCGTGGTAGGCCATTGCTTCCCTTGGCTTTTACAAGGATCCGCCGATGTCGATGGTAATTGGACCTGACGTTTCAGACAGGAACCTTGAGCAACTTTCGATCATGTTTTGGTTTCGAACCTTTCAACAAGTTATCTAGTGCTTAAGGGAACTGTTTTCAGTTTCGATACTTGCAACCAGTTATCTAGTTTAAGGCATTTCCTTGGATGACAACCCTTAGGTAAACAATGGCGGTTGTACCCCGATTGTTTTAATGGTTGCAACTGAACCCCAGGGCAAGGACTCGTACACTTTTCAGCAAACCCGGTGAGTGGATCGCAGGTGGTAGCAGGAAGCCACCAGATGGGGCACCTCCTCATGCGGATCTTCGCGGAATCGGGGGTGGAGAGGCGGGTTTCGGCGGCGGTTTTTGGGCGAAAACCAGTTGGAAAGGGGTGGAGTCAAGTCTGCAAAACAGGGGGAAGATGCGTTTCGGCGAAATCTGTGAGCCAAGGGAATGTTGAAGGCTGCACGATATCACAAGATGATTTGCATGACAGGCGCTTGTGTGAACGTACCCGCTTTGAGGTTGATTTCCCAAACCCGAAAGACGGAGGCTCGTGGAGGGGTTTATGAAAAAGGGATTTCCGGTGGCGTGTTGGCATTATATCTCATTCCCCATAGGCCCCAAAAGGGCACCGTGGCCTTATTGTCGCTGGATGGTGCATGCCTTTTGAGCTTCCGATTCCCTGAATGTATGGATGCCTTGGAACCTTCTTTTTACAAGCTACTGGCTCGTCCCTTTTTTGCATGGCAAGTGCTCGCCCATGCGGGCCTTTCTGGATTTCAAGGCCTGGCACGCTGTGTGCCAAAATGTTTTGTTGCCATTGTTTTCCTTCTGGGGAAAAAGGGACTATATTTGAATTGCGTCAACGCATGTGACCTGTTTCTTGACCATTCCCGATGCTTAGTGATTAACACCTGAATGCCTTGACAGCCCTGGAGCACGAGACATTGTTTTATTTACTTCGATGTCGGCCCATTTTTGTCCGGGATATGCCCGCTTGCCTTTTTCTCTCGAACCTGCACAGGTTCCAACTGTCGCTGTTTGTGGGCACCGCCGGAGACCCGGACAATGCATTCGTGAGCAACGGCCAACATTTGCTATCTTAAATGAGCAAGGGGGATGACATGGGTCACGCTCCCCAAAAGCACCATCAGGCCAGGGGGGGGATCACCAAATGGGTGTGGGTCAAGATCAAACTATTAGGGGACTGTTTGGTGTTGGTCCATGTTGCCACTTACCAGGGCAAGCCATGTTACCATTTTTGACAACCACAGCCAAATGTGCATTGCAGCCGGGGGGGACACAACAAATGTGGCCAGAGTGGGCGCTACGGTAGCTTTGTGGAGCGCAAGCATGTAAATCGGTGACGAGTCCATGCCTTAAGGGTAGAGTCACGAAAGCATCCAAGTGCTACCAATTGGTTTTTGTTGCGTCGTCCATTCAAAGGTTCTTTGATTATATGCCCCTCCCTCCCAAAAAAGGAGAGAAAATGAACATATCACACACATATCAAATCAAGCATAGGAGTTGTTTTTTGTTTTTTTTCTCATGGCCACTGGACAAGTGCATACGAAAATGCGTTTCCTGAAGATTAACCTGGACAACATAGAATCAATCTCCTTTTTGCGACCCCGCGATTTGCAGTTCTTGTTGACTTTCCAGGGAATATGACAGGTTCTGGAGTCTAGCCGAAGCAAGTTCGCGGGCGAGGCAAAGTAACAATAATGCCAGCAGACTGCAAGTCGGGAGATGCTGTGGGTATGGTCAGTTGTGCAGTGGCTGAGGTCAGAAAGAGGGAACACATCACCCCAAGCCTGGTTTGAGATGCGTTTACTATGTTTTGTTGTTTTTTTTTGTGGGGGGGGGTCATATAATCAATGAGCACTTTGAAAAGGGCCTGCTGAAAAAGCGACATGCCCTTTGGTTAGTTGAGTTATACCCTCCTTGGTTGAAAGGGAAGCCTAAGATCTTCGCTTGGGAGCGGCAGCATGTTGGGTGGGTGACTGCAGCGGCTGAGTTATGCTTTCTGACCAGGGCCCAAAGAGCTCTCATACTGAAATTAGCCAAAGCAAGGTTAGAACCAGCGATCCAGCGTAAATCGAGCGATTCCTTTAGAGTCCTTGTCTTAGGTGGTCCAGCGATTTCCGTTCCTCGCATTGGGTCAAACACCTAGGCATGACTGAAACATGCAAGCTCACTCTTCAGTTTCGGTTCCAGACTTTTGGCGGGAAGACCCAAGGCAAGCCAGGGTGTTCTCTTCCTTTTTCAGAAGTGAGCCTATGAAAGCATGGCAGACACAATACAACAGTGTCACCCCGACATTTGCGCGATATCCACTCGGGGTCACGGCGGCATTGCTTTTGTCCAAGACTGAACTTGCAGATGTCAGGCCGGCTACGCAAGCCATTGACCTTTCAGGTTTAGCTTGTCAAGACATCTGCGCAAACACTCTCGATCTCACCTGGCTAGCAACCTCGTCCATGAAGGTCTCAGGGGAGAATCTTGCCTTGCACTAATATTCAGCCAGCACCAAACCATGAAATTGCTTCAAGTCGCAAGATTCTGTGGTGTTTCAATAGCAAGGTGCAACCAGTTGTTTGGATGCTTCCCTGGCTCCGCCGAGTTCCCGGCAAAAGGGCCTGGATTTGGGAGGTCCTTGGCTTCCAGGTTTGAGAGTGAAAGGTTGCCAAGGTTACGGGTGCAAAAGAGTCGGAATCTTGGTGTCCAGTTTCCAAAAATATGTGTATAGATACTTGTACAGCTTATCTTAAGATTGTTTAGGCAACTAAGTACAGTATGACCTAAAACTAGCAAAGCAAACCCTGGCAAATTGGACCGAGTCCAGCTTTCCTCGAGGCCATGGCTTTTCTCGCCGTGCTGAGCCTTAGTCGAGAGCTCAATGGATTTCTCGGAGTCGGATTTTTTTGGTGACGATTTGGCCATCACTCAAAGGGGCAGGCTGTTTAGTAAGTGATTAGAGGAGTTGCCCACTTGGGCGCCTTACAAAGACTGTGGGTTACAAACGCACTTACTGAACTGAATGCCAGGCCCTGACTTTGACTCAGACCCATTTGAACCAGGGTCGCTTGGACTTAAATGGGAAGTGGCTGATAGGAGCCATCCCAGTTTCGAGGGGATCCTTTGGCTGGGGAAGCACTTTTCTCCACCAGGTGTGTGATGTCAACGCCGTAAGTCTTCGGACTGTACTCAGGATGCTTCTGGAGGCAAACTGTTTGCTACTGAACGGTGCTGGGTCTTTCCCCACGCAAGCTCGATGTTGGCCACTGTGCCCTTTCATTTAAAAAGTGGATGGGACTTTGCTTCCTGGAAGGAATGCCTCTCGGGCAAATATGCTCCATATTCCATCCCGGCGGGTTGTTTGAGCGTCCTGCTTCTTCAAATAGCGTACAATGAAATAACACACATACAGACATATACATATATATATATAGACGAAAGCGACCAGAGGGCGACAAGTTGGTTAGCCGTTCGCCGTGAGTGAGGTCTTTCGGGCGTCTTCTGCGGCGTTCTCCTGAGCCAAACCATCATCCAGAAAGGCCTGGGCAGCAAGCGTGGATTTCAAGAAGTCAGCACCCGCAGCTGCAATGTGTTTGTGCGTGTGTGTGTGTGTGTGTGCGTTTGTGCTTTCTGGGGGGTACCGTTTGCGGGATGGGTCCCTCAGGGAATGTAACGGGGAACCCTTTTTTTTTTTTTTTTCGGGCGCGGGGGGGGGACCTTCTATGTTAACCCACATCCGAAAGAAGAGAGCTGGTCTCGGTTCTCCCTTTTCGAACCTAGCTGAATAGGGCCCAAGAAGGCAATGTTGCTTCGGGATCGGACCCACTGGATTCCATGTGTTGGCTGGTAACCTCTTCCCCCTAAAAATGCCTCTAACGAAAAAGCGTGTTCCTCGATGTCTCAAAGAAATCCCTGAACCCACTGCATTTGAGTTTGGGCCCCTTGAAAACCAATACACAGCACACACCCGAACAATAACACTGGCCCCTGCTGGTTCCACTTCTTACTACTGACCAAAAATCGAGCTTGGTCCCCTAAGAAATATGTTTTTTTTTTCCCATGTTAGGATATTAGAGGGAGCTTCTGGTTAGGATAAATTCTGGCGGGGATCAATTCAGGAGGCACTTGGATTATTTCAGGACGCTTGGGTGTTTCATGTCGCCTCGATTGCCGAAAGGGCGAACGGCTCATGCTTCGGCCAGGGGATGCCGAACTGGATGGTGGCATGCAGCAGTTCAAAAGGAACCAGAACCTCGTCGCTGACTCAGCGCGAACCGAGCACCGAGCGTTGTTAGGGTGACTTGCACTTTCGGACTCTTGATCATAGCTATGCAGATGTGCGCCTGTTCAAGGGGCTCATGCAACGAATGCTCGTCCTGAAGGCCAGTGTCCGAATATCTCCGGACTTCACTCGTTTGCCCAAAAAATGGGGCACAGAAGCCCAGTGTAGCCAGGCACTTTTTGGACCTCACCAGAGAAAGCCTTCACAAGATACGTCCAGGGGCTGATGTTGGGAAGTGATGCCATTTGGTTTGAAGAGTATGCACGGATGGAGGGACGACTACACGGATGGAGGGACCTTTGGAAAAAGAGTTCGTTCTAAGATGTTGAAGGAGACATTTGAAAGTGTTTGAACAGGTTGGCTTAGCCCTGCCCAGCCCAAATCCAACACCGCCAAAATCAGGGGGTTGAGCCGATGTGAGTCATTGAAGCACGAGACGTGTTGTTTTTTTTTGGGGGGTTTTGGGGTGCCACTTTCAATAATGCCAAGGGACTCCTTCGATTTCACAAAGTCTAAGGGATGGGATTCCCATCGTGCCCTGACAGAAAGGTTCACGTTTCGGTAAAACATGAGTCCATTCCTTCCCTGCAGAGAGGGCGAAAGCTCAAGTTCGGGAGAGCGATCAGGTGCAAACCCTCAACCAGGCGGGGGGTGGGCATCGCGGGCAGCTGGGTTTGACACCGGGTCTCACAAGAAAACTCCCAGACGATGCTGTTTGGGGTGCTGCAGGAGGCAGGTGCTGCAGGGTGCCGCTGCAAGGAGTGGTTTCTATGCTGGCCTTGTGAATTTGCGCGAAAGCGATGCACAATGGGATGGACACTGTTGTTTGTTTTTCCAGGCACAACCACGAATGTTCATCAATGTATTTCTGTCGCCGGGAATTACTTAATTCACATAGGGATTGGGCAAGGCGAATGTCTAAATTGTCTGGCTGATGACTACGTGAGCAGCACACTCGGGACTTGCCGATGGATTGCCTTTGCAAGATCACTCGCATGCAACAAGGCAGCCTGAAATTCCTTTGAATTCCTCACATGGTATTGATGATATTCCTTTTCCACTGTGGTTACCTGGGGGGCGGTCTAAAATTCAGGTCAGCCTTGATGAAGATGTTCACAGGAATCTGATGCGAAAACGCCACTGATGCCTCACCAGGCTACCAAGGGCATGGATACTTGAAGGAGAGTTCTTCAAAAACTCGTTTGTTGAGTTTCATCTTCTCACTTCCTGAGTTCTTAGACTTTACGCTTTTTGCGAAGATCAATCCAGTGGTAAATGACCAGGGCGGGCTTCTCTTGGCCAAACCACACCAAAAAAGTAGTGAATCTTGTCCGAAGGTTTGGTTGTACCACCGGCACTCACTTGGTCTTAATCGAGTCATTCGCTTCGGGACCTTGTCGCAGAGGTCTGGAAAGATGCTGGTGCAGGACTCGGAGAATGCGAGTGGAAGCTAGCCAGTGCTTGGAAGGGAGCTGGTTGCAGAGCCGGGGGCATCCAACCTTGGAGCCAGGAAGTGGACCCAGTTCTCAGCCCCAAATCGCTTTTCATATCTTTAAGTGAACCGCAAAGGCCGTCGCCTTGGTGTGTTCCATGCGAATTTTGTAGGGGAGAAACCTTGGCTTCCTAGGATGTTCAAAACAAAGATAGGGGACCTCCCCGCGGGCGCGATCAACCAGTTGAAGACCCCGAAGGAAGTTAGCCATTCGTTGAGGTACGATGCCCTCCCGGTTGTGGAACCAGTCAAAACAAGCTCGGAGCCCATGCAATTGTTGTTTCCTTTGAACGAGGGATCCAACTCGTTTTGACACAAGTCCGTACACCCGTATATCCGTATATCGGAAGACTTTGTATCGTTGGGTCGCACAACAGACGGGGGTGGGCGAGGGAATTCTGCGACCTATGTTTTGGTGGGGGGTACTGGAGAACACCAGGCATTTGTGCAAGGTTCCGTGCTTGGCTCCAGGTAAGTTCTTGGAATCGAATTCGCTGGAGGCTATGAGAACGCAGACACCATCGACTGGAAGGACATTCTGAAGGTGATGACTGCCAACGAGGCGTGGTTGGGCCCAAGTGGCCATTTTTAGCAGGTGGTTCTACTAACTAATTGAGTTGGGATTGTAATCTCGAGCCACGGATGATTCGCTCATTTTGATCCACAAAAAGGCATCCGTGATTCTAGTCATGGGGGGGCGGACAGTGTCGCCCAGGCGTTGGTCCCAGCGCTCATGGTTTACGCCGTTGGATCCTCCAAGACGTTCACAGAGAATCCGCAGGGTTGCAACGGCATCCCGCGGAAATGCGGTGGCTGAGAGCAGTCCGGGCGGAAGTGCAATATGTCCACCCCTCTCTATGCCTTACCGCGCTGCGGTCACGCTGGTCTGAGCTCCCAGCCAGCAGACCGCAGCACTCCCGGTTCCCGTGAGACCTTTCTCCCATCACCGTCAGGTGGTAGAGCTCGACCGGCAGTCCACCCTGTCGTTTCGCAGCGTGCTCCCCCTCCGGCTCATCCCTCATCTGCTCGCCAGTGCTTTCCAACGCTCGCGGAGTTAAAGCCGACTCCCCGCGCCAGACGAAGATGAGCGGCTCACCGAGCGGCTGTGAAAGCGCATGTTCTCCTCCAACCTACGGCCAAGGCTGCTCAGGTAGGAGCCTTCGCGCATTTCGCCGCTCCAAGAGCGCTTTCAACTATCAACTCAAGGACCTTGTGGCACAGGCTGGAGATGACCGCTGCCACCAAGATCAGCTTCAGTGCGTCACCATCCTCAGGTCCACGCGATCCTGGGCCTTTGCCAATCAATCCATGACGCCCAGCATTCCAAGACCACCTCCGGTACTAGGGCTCGCCTCTTCCGATGTCAGAGCTCTGCTCATCCATGGATGCCGTAGAGCTCCGTTAATCTAACACTGCCAAAGGCACCGTGGAGCCATGCCCGGTCGATGCTGTAGGAAGTTCCGATGCCATAGAGCTCAGCTCCTCCAACGAGACCGACGAGCTCGGCTGATCCACAAATGCTGTAGGGCTCGCTCCATCCGAATCTCCAGAAGAGACTTGGCCCAACTCCCCTTCCGGTAATATCGAGCTCTTGATTGCCGCCCCACAGCGAATTCTTGTCCACCTCAACCCACTCACCCGACCACGACTCACCACTGATCTCTGCAAGGAGTGCCAAGTCAACGGTTCAACCCGGGTCGTCAACCTGGGAGATTCCTCCGGTCCTGCGCACGCTGACTCCAGAACAGGGTTGTGGGATCAAGGGGTTTATCTCACTTCTGTGATACAAGGGAAGCCCTTTTGGTTGTATCACAGAAGTGGATTCGATTTCCCACGGCCCTGCTCCACGGACTCACCATCTCCGGGCGCCTGCGGTGCCTCGGCTGGATGTCCTCCAAGGCCCTCGGCTCCGAGGGAGAGGCCTCCGGGAGGCGTGACCTTCGAGCAACGGATGATGCGCTGATTTTGATCCACAAGGCTTGCGTGATTCGAGTCCAAATGGGGGCCACGTGATACTAATCCTATTTAAGCCTTTATAATTTATAACCATAATGGCTGCTCAGGTGGTGTCTTGACACCCCAAAACCACAGCCCCAGATCAAGTACTTGGTTACTTACTGCATTCATGGTATTGTGGCGAAAACCATTTGCCTCGTTGACCCTTTCCAACTTGCTTTTGTGCTGAAGCAACCCTGAGCACTGGAAGGAAAAGTGGATTTGACAGCTCCAGTTTGTGCAAGTCCAAAAGCCTAACGAAGTCCATTTGGGCTTCGGGCAAGGAACGCTGATGACTGGGGGTTGCCACCGCTGGAATGTCCCAAGCCAAAAATCGACCAGTGGCCGGGCGGCTTGCACGGCGGAATTGGTCGATTCCCGGAGCGCGCCATGCAGACGTCGCAGAGGTCTCCAAGACCGTCGAGTGTCAGATAGTCTTAGCAAGGTTCAGGCCGAGCACATACACACCAGCGCCGACACCACGCCGGCAGGTGCATTACGATCCAGGTCAGGTTGGCTTGCTTTCTGTGTGCAGACTCATCCACAAGCCCTGCAATATGCCGACAAAAGCAAACGGCACGTGAGAAAAGCCCGCACATGTGGAGCTTTTTCCAGCCACAGGCATTCTGAACCTGGCCTGGGTGTGTCTGTCTTTTCGGGGTTTAGGGCTTTAGGGAGGGGAAGGGAAACCGCCCATTCTTGAGGGTTCCCCTATTTTGAGACAGCCAACTGAATCTTTTTGCCGAACCTGGGCACCTATGCCAACGACCCTCAGTTTCAGTCAAAGGTTTTTGGTCAGCGGTCCGAATGTGGGAGGACCCAAAATGACGAACCCTCTGCCACCCACCCCCGCCCCCCGGCGCGCTACTGGAACTCATGTACATCGGTTTCAAATTTGGGTTGCCACTTCTGCGAAAATTTCCAGGTGATCCACCACCTGGTATCATGGGTCTGATTTTCAAGGGGTTCTGACAAGGACCATAGTTCACCGAGGAATTTCATGGGTCAACCACAATTTGATTTCGGTTGAAGCCTAGGTGGTTCCCTTGAATCATCCATCCAGTGCACTTGATGGAACCACAGGCTAGCGCCTCACGCGATGCGAGGGAGATGGCGGTTCTGCTGGCGTCGCCCAAGGCGAAAGGGGGGCACTAAGACCGTGCTTTTGCGTCGAGTGAGTTGGTTTGTTTTCACCGACTAGAGGTGAGTTGCAAACCAGACCATATGATTTTTCAGCCGGCCATACTCAAATTGAGACATAGTTAACCTGCTTGCGGATCCTGTGGCGACGCTCGGTTAGGCCGAAGAAGGCCGTGTGCGACCTGATTTATGCGCTGTTGAGTATTGGGACCTCAGCACCCATGCCCTAAGGCTCCGAGTCGGAAGTACTAGCGCCTCTTTCAACTCCAGACAGCCTTCAAGAGAGGTGCGTAACCTCTTTTCCCCCAAAAGCTCCTTCGGGGGTACCTGGGATGGGATAGATCTCACGTCTTTGCGGAGGAGTCCTCCACTGAGTCGCTGGAGCCCGGTGAGAAGGACTTAGCTGGTACGGGACCAACAAATTGGATGTTTTTGTTTTCAGGGTAGGGGAAAATGGGTGTATCTTTTGGTTGCAAAAACGAAAATCCCAAAAAAAATCCGAGAAAAAACAAACACATTCCCAAAATAAATCCGCGCCCAAAAGAATTTGGGTGTGCGTTTATTGGAGTTGGTCGCCTTTTTGGGTTGGTCAAAGAAAGCAGGACACCAGCAGGGAACCCTATTCCTTTGCGAGGGGTTGGGAATCGGTTAATCTGCAGTGTGGACTGTGTTGGTGTTTGACAGAGAGTCACAGCATTGCTCAACTTGCCCGTCACACGTTTTGCAGGGTTACGGTACGACCCCAGATCATGGATCTCTCAATGGGGAATTTAGACAACCATGATAGGCATCCTTACTAAGCAGTCATGAGTCATGACCATAGCACACATGAGGAGTCTTGATGGCACCTCACCATTCCCTGCATGAATCCAAGAGTTGCCCTTTGCCTGCTCCCGCAAGTTTTGGCATGCTCCCAATGCGTCTCCCAACTAAAGGCGCCCCTTTTTTCCCTCAGGAACCAAACAACATGAAAACATAAATAACAACAAGCTGCGACCTTGCATGTTTGCAGGAATACAAGTCCAGATCTCAAACAAATCAAGCCAGAGACGGCGCATACAGCACAATACTTGCTACAGTTTGTTTCACCCCGCCTCAAAGTATAGTCTCCTCTAATACAAAGCTTCGCTGATCAAGTATGGCTCTCCCCAGCACTGGAACATTAAGAAATGCGATTTCAGTCCGATTGACCAGACAGGGGAGGATCGTAGCCCAAAGAGGATCAAGGCGGGTTCTGGATTTCTGAAATCAGTGCACCTTGCACTGAAGCCTGTCCCTCACTTGCCACAGCATTTTGGCGTACGGCTGGTGATCAACGAAGAGCCTGTGGTTTATTGGTAAGGGCGGACTACCCAATCTCCAAACAGAAGCTAGTCGGCCACTTGATTGTCCAACTTCATTCATATGACAAACTTACAATAAGTTTCAGCAGATACGTAAAAGGGAAGCGACCTATCTCAGACGGTCTCCCTTGTTTCGAGCATTGTCCAAGGATTGCTTTTTGGTTTCCGCTTAGCCCACGGAACCTCAACAGAGACACATTGACCGGCTCAATCCTACCGCCAACGGCTCTTCGCGGAGGAAAGCGAAGAGGACTGTCTTCTAAAAGACCAGGCGGCCGATGCGTCTGGATGGGCGTTTCCCATCCTGTGGATGAACAAAATCCATTTCGCAGTTGTTGTTGTGAGATAGGCACGATTAGGCCAAGGCCGGTGCGATTAGGGGGTGTCTAGCAAACCAGGACGTTATGTATGTGTTTTCAAAGGTGTTCTCTGCGACATTCGTGCAATATGTTTGTGAAATATAACGTGAGATGATTGCCAAGTACTGTTGACAAACACTCGACAAACAAATCTTAGCTGCTGGCTACTTGGCTTGGGACAGTGTAGTAAGACGGTAAGGTCCCATGATCAAGGTATCGTACGGTTGCCTCATACTTGTCATGTCATGGAAGTCAAACAGTCGTGTGGTTTGACGGTGGCACATTAGTGATCAGTTTCTTTGCGAAGATGCCATAAGTGATCAAATTTGAAGATTGCGCAGAGCTACACTAGTTTTATGAGGCAACACGCAGTGTGCAAAACATGGAAAGTGCCTATTTCGCTGCCTACACAAGCATGGAAAGTGTAGGCAGGGTATGTACCTTTTTCGCACGTTACTGTACCCCTTCTTGGGGTGGTCACCCGAGACCCACTCTGGCTTTTGGGGTCTTAACCCAGAGGAAGAGCATTCAGTGGGTGCCCTACTGTGAATTCACAAAATTGGTTTCGCACCACTTTGAGACTATGGAAAACTATCCATTGTTTGCATTTACAGAGGGATCATCATGCCAAGGTTTCTTAGTCTGACAAACACTTGCTCTGACTCTCACAAGCCTCCAAACATGTCTCAACCTTACCCGCGCAGTAAAGCCACTAGCCTCATGCCGCAAATATGTCAACGTCACACTTGCCTGACATAATGTTGCTCGCCATCTCACAGATGTAACACCCATAGATCCTGGCAAATAAAGGCGGTAGGCGACCTAACAGGTTCGACTGCGTGCCACATCTGTCATGCAACAAGCTTCACCACAGTACATGTAGTGTTTGTTGGCATTGCCTCGTGAGCTTTGGGCTCTTGGCATCTTTCTGACTTCACTGTTGTGTTCAAGCCTTGCCAGTCGGAACCCCCCAAAGTTTCGTCCACTTGCCCCAAACTGGTCCTTTCCAGAGTGCGAGCCTGCGCTCTTTCCCCGCGCAGGGCATCACGATGGAGGAGCTGAGGGCACTGGCTCAAACGAACAGCGTCATGAACGTGTTTGGCCATGGAATTACCAGCTTCATTTGGGGAAATAGACGGGGACGACTCACGATATACACCAAAGCTCGCTAAAAGCCCATGTCCTCTTGAAAAACAAGTAGTTTTGGCCATGACTCACGTGATCTTTGCCGTTTTGGGAACATCACTTGATCAACTTGGGAGAAATCCAGCTGCCTTTTGCCGCTTTCTTCAAAAGCGAAAGGGGCCTCCAGCAGGCCTCCAGGACTCCTCCGCAGGACTTTCGCGCCGCATACAACGAGATGTGCCTTTTTGGCCCGGTGTGTGCGCCCGACTTGCTTAGAATGTTCTGCATGCGAAAATGGGTGCGACTCTCTGATAGAAACCGCTAAAGACAAGGGTTCGGGAGAGTCCCTTGTCTCAAGTTATATATTTCCGCCGAGGTGGTGCCTGTGTTTGACAAGTGTCACATGTCATTGCTGATCGGAAGCTTTTCTTGGGTCTGCATGGCTTGAGGCAGAATCTCGTTGAAGTTTTGGATCATTTTTCCCGGCTAAAGACAGGTGCCTGGACCCTCAAACTACCGCACGTGAGATAGCCCCCCTTGTTTGTTCAAAGGTAGCGTGAGGGTCCAGGTAGCCCAAAATCACAGCTGCCACACTTGGGAGGGGAGTCGACACAGCCAGGTGTGGAGGACTTCATCCTTTGTGTCTTCAAGCACGTGACCAACGTGAAGCTCAGTCTCCAAGCAGAGTTGTGACGGTTTAGTTTCCCATGTGGTTGTCCTGTTGGTTTCCATTCAAAACCAACCAAACACGTGCACCCTCAAAAGAAGGCACACCCATGTCCCTTTGACCTCATCCTCCTTGGCGTATGTTTTTCCCCTTCGACCAGTTGACCTGTGAGCTGGTGCTGGGTGTCTGTTCCTCTTTGCGACAAGCAAGCCGGTGGTTCCTAGCTCCTTGCGAAGGAAGACTGTGCCCTTCCTGTCCTTCAACCACCAGCAGAACAAGGCGTCTTTCACAGGGAGCGAGCGCCTGAGCTTAAATCAAATCCATTCCCTGGCAAGTGGGGGTCGGTATGGGGGATTGTTCCCAGCCACAGATAGGTGCGGCCGCCCTCTTAATTCTTTGCCTGATGTTGAGTAGCTCTCTTAGGTACCAGATGTTGATGGCGACTCACTGCGACTCACCTCGCTTCCTGAAGGATTTACGGCTGTAAATTACAGGCTGAGCACCAGATGTTTCTTGTATTTCTGATACCAAAGCGTCCCGAATCAGAAAAACATGCCCCCCCCCCCTGGATCAGTAGACCCTTCGGCCCTTCGGCCCCCAGCTTTTAATGGCTGCGACGCCTGCGTCGGTCATTGTGGGTGTGAACGTAGATAGCTGACTTTTGGACAGCATGGAGGCCAATTTGGGCTCGGAGGAGTCCCGATTGTTGGATGTTTTTTGGTCAAAACACGTTAGATGACTCGCTCGCGAGAAGTAGGACATGTGAGTTTCTTTGTCGACTAGGTTCTCGGTGCAGGCTGGGATGTGAAAGGGCATGCCAGCAATTGGCAATTGGGAAGCGGAGGGAAGCCAAAAGGCCACCCACCCACCCACCCACCCACCCACCCACCCACCCGCCCGCCCACCCACCCACCCACCAACTGGTTAGTTGGCTCTCTGTGTTAGAACTGCGCTCGGGGCAAAGCAAAGATACTGGCGCCATCTGTGACGCATTCGGACTTCGTTCGCTTCGGATCCCGGTTCGGGAAGCTGAGGGAACCAAACTTTCGCGTGCCTGGATGGCTTCCGAGGTGAGCTGGTTGCACCTAGCTTCATGGGATCTCCAAGGCCTATAATATGTATATATAGATATGTATATATATATATATGCATATATATATATATACAGATGGCGGTGTACTGTTGTTTTGAAGGATGCCCTTTCTTGGGAGCTTCGTTGGAGAGAAACTCTGAATACAATCATCCGGTACTGATTGACATGGAACCCAACACACCATGGGTGAGGAATCTTCCCCGTTTCGGTGCCTGTGGGTCGGCCAGGTCTACTTGCGGATCCAGCACCATGGGCTGGGAGCCTCGTGGGTGGCTTCCACCTGTGTTTCAACCCGTTGCGCGGCATGAAACGACTAAACCGTCTTCGATTGCAGTGCTGTGTCCACACGCACCCAGCACCACGCCTCTAAACCAATGGTTGTTTTTGAGGCGGTCAATTTGGCAAGCAAATCAGCGATATGATGCAATATACCATATTGTGCTGGCTATCTAGCTTCTCGGTTTCAGCACAACGAGCAGTGGAGTCAGCTGGCTGACAGGTTAAGGGCGCCCTGGTAACAACTTCCTTCTTGAGTTGGCTAGCATCGATGGCGAAAGTTTCTCAACACGTCTAGACATGCCTAGACCTTTTGGTCAGTCAGCAAACGCCTGGAACATCTTGCAAGTCCAAGATTCGTTTGGGTGAGCCTTGCGGTTGATTCCTGTCATATTGTAAAACCAACCGAAAGCCACGGTAAAGTTTCCGGGTCCCACTCCAACTTCTTTCCTTGTGTGATTGTTGTCGAGAATCAACGGGTTTTGGGCAAATTAATGTATGGCATTCCAGACACCTTCATGCCAAGCAAAACCTGCGCACTCCTACATGACTCCAAGCTCAAAACACAGCCTGCCCCCAGTTTGGAACCACAGCTGAGGCTTTTCGGAGTATCCCCATCCGAGATGGTTCTTGTGAGGTTAGGCTATCCATTTTGGTGCCTTGCCCGTTGCCGAGCAACGAAAGCTGAAGCCTTTGACTTTTGGGAAGTGAGGCGTGTGGTGGATGAAGGCTTGCGCGATCTTCAGCCTGGTCCCTGGAGTGCCATTTTCAGGTATGCCGCCGAGCCTCGAACATGTGACTGCGTGCTCCACAGAATGCATCGAAACATATCAAAACTAAGTTGGGGGTTTCTGGAGTTGGATCCAATTGGAAGCCGATCCTTCCTGGTTCCTCATACACATCCCCCATTCTTAGCCTTCGCCATCATATGTTGGCCATGTTTCTGCATGCAACAGGTGCCCACACATTTATGACACTTGGGTCTTGTCAGTATACTTTCTGACATGCACCGACGTTTGACATTCTCCGAACATATCACGTACTCGTGAACATGTCGTGTATAAGATCCGCTAAACGAAAGAAATGGCATACCCAGCCCGGTTGGACCTTGGGCACCACCATTGGGCACCCTCGTTTTAGTTCCTTCGAAGTAAATTCACAGGCCCAGCACCATTTGGAAGGACAAAGCGGAACCACCAACATTCCCACGCACGAGTATTTGGTTTTGTTTGTTTGTTCGTTTTGGTTAGGCTTATATGTTTCTATTGATGTGATTGGGCGTGTTTGTTGTTTTGCTTTTGTGTTGGTTGCTTGTTTGTTTGGTTAGTTTGTTGTTTGTTGGTTGGTTGGTTGGTTGTTTGTTTGTATGTTTGGTTGGTTCATTGGTTTGTTGATTGGCTGGTTGTTTGTTACCAGGGACCCACAAAGCTCTAAACTGCGATAGGAGCATGCCTGGAGGGGAACCGTTACCAACACGGGCGTGTGCACAGTGATCACCTTTAGGGTTGCTGCCTGCGCTCCTTGTGTTTGCTTTGCATGTTTAGGGCCGCACAACAGGTTTTCCCGAGAGAAGTGAACAGCCCTTTGTACGGGGTTGCGTGCTGAGGCATGAAAGGGATTCCAAGCACACCATTTGGCCCAGAGTAGCCTGATTTTCCTATCCCAAACCAGGCTTTTGAGCTCCATGGTGGCTTTGGGTGTAAGTGTATGGGCCCGGTGTGAAGAAGTGCATGTCGTCAGGGCCCCGACATTGCGAGAACTGCTCTCTCTCTCTCTCTCTAACTACAACTTGTTTCCGTTCAAGTGTGTGGTTTGCTGTTTGCTTGCTTCCGTACCAGTTGTCACGGTGAGAGCTTTGGCCCCCGACTGGCAGAGGACGAAGATCGGGATGCTGCAACAGATGCTGCCGCCCATGATCGAGGACGTGCAGGCGTGGGATTTCCCGATCGCATCGCTAGGATACCCTTTTCACGGTTTATGTAAAGGGAAGCCGAAAAGAAAGCAACAATTTGAGGGTTCCTTCAATTTTGACACATACCCACAGATTATGTTTGGGTCGTTAAATCCATTACCTGCTTGTTTAATTTCAGCTAAACTGTTTACAACAACGACGGGAAATATGTTGAAATGGAGAATGTGTTGACGCTGAAAAGGGCTGGGGAGAGAATCTGTGAACAGACCTGCCATTCCCCCGGCAGGAGCGGATTCCGTTGGCCGCAGAGCTCTGCAGGTCCTCCTTCCATCCATCCGTACTTCCATCAATCCATCCATGCATCCAAACATCAATGCATGCATGCATGCATCCATACGTCCATCCATGCATCCATCCACCCACCCACCCACCCACCCACCCGCCCCCGCCCCCGCCCCCGCCCGCGCCCGCGCCCGCGCCCGCGCGCCGCGCGCCCGCGCCCGCGCCGCGCCCGAGCGCGCCCGCGCCCGCGCCCGCGCCCGCGCCCGCCCATCCATCCATCCATCCATCCATCCATCCATCCATCCATCCATCCATCCATCCATCCATCCATCCATCCATCCATCCATCCATCCATCCATCCATCCATCCATCCATCCATCCATCCATCCATCCATCCACAATGTCAGAAGTTGAATTCTCTTTGGACAAGGACCAAGAAATCACGGAGGAGATCTGCCAAGACCACGCCAAAGCAGCGCCATGCAAAAAGCGGAAACCAAAGATGGCTGCCTTTTCCCCATGATGGTTGCCTTTGGGCTCCATATTTTTTCCAGGGGCTCAAGTTCCTCGTCAAAAAGAGGACACCTCAACTTAGAAAACGAAAAAAATGCGAAAAAAAAACAACAAAACGCCTCACTGGTCCAGTTCTCGTTGAAACAAAATGTGGAGGCGGCGGCCGCAGACCTCCAGGAGCTGGAGGAATTGGAGGCGAGGCCGGTGAGGTTCCAGTCGAAAGTTGGTCGCAGCTGGTTGAATGCTGGTACCCTGGTTCTGGGGCGGGGGAAGGGGGGGAGGGGGGGAGGGGAAGCCCACATTAAACAAGGTCCAACATGATGCTTAGTCGAGGTTCTTACCCTTCTTTGGGTCCATTTTGTTCGTGGCAGAAGGTGATCGCCTTTCATTTCCATCCCACTGTGGCAACTGGCTGGCTCTCGCGCGAGGGAAATGCCCACGAAGGGTGGACCCGAAAAAGCATCAAGCAGGCAGCTCAATACAGTGGATGGGCAAATCAACTGGTGCAGAAATTCGTCCATCCACATGGTGTTTCCCCCTAATCCGGATACCCTCGTTTAAGCAAGAGGGGCACCCCGGATCACAAGCAACTTGGGGTGTACTAAGTCCAGGGTCAAGATTTTGAACCATCCCTTGTTGCCAAGTGTCAGACTGGGTTCCCACAGAAATGTTTGATTGACATGCGCTTTATGGCTATTTGGTTGGATATTTTAGACTTTAGCTTTTCGCTTGAAAGAGGTGGGAGTTCCCATTCTCACAAACAACTTTTTGAGCGGTGATCGGCAACCAAGTACTATTGTTAGTCTTGTACATGATGGCCACCAAAGGTCCGTAGCTGTGCAGGCACGAATGGTTCCACAACGGAGCGGCTCTGCTTTTCAAAGAAACACCTCAATTGGTTTCTTCGCATGCGCACGGCTGCTTTACTTCCAAACCAAATATCACATGGCATGATTTCAACAGGAGTCCTCGATTCTCTTAAAGAAATCCAAAACGGGTGGATGGGGCAGTTGTCTACTAAGGTCCCGCCTTCGAAAGCCTCACAGAAACGGAGCGTGAATCAGTGAATGTGGGGGTTTCTCAGATTGCGACGCATAGAAACACATCCCATCTTGCCAAGACATGTCCATGGCTTCTTCGGGTTGGGCGTCGTGTTTTGTCACAGAAAAACACAAGCATGTTCTCAACTTAGTTGCGGTTTCGCATTGAATGGGGATGCATCAACTTCAACTTCCATAAGGCTAGCAGGACTTGAACCTGGAACCTCCCCCCCAGGGCGCGCTGCCATTGTGCCACAGCCTTTGCTGGCTTTATGGTTTCCATTGCTCTTCTTTCATCTCAATGTTAGCTCTCATTCGGCGGTCAATCACCGTGTTCGTCAGGGTGAAGTGGACATGCAAATCCAATGAAAGCCCTCCGCTTGCGCAGGACAGACTAGAAAAGCGGAAGCAGGCGCTCCGGGAGCTGATCGACACACGGGAGAAGGACTGGAGGGAAGGGCAGGGAGCAGGCGGCTTCTGAGGGGAGCTTTGCCTAAACCGAGCTCACCGCAGCGCTGGCTATGGTATGGATTTGTGGGTGATGAACTGTAGAGAAAACGGCAGATGCGGTTTATCACGGCTCTGAATGTTGAGCCCTGATTAATTTATGAGCCCATGGCATTACTCGTTCGGTCGGATTCCCCTGGGAGTTGTCCCACCGAGTCAACGAGTTATAATCACTGCACTGGTGTGTGTGTGAATGCAGGATGTTTTCGACATTGGACAGGACAGCAGTCAAAGGAGCGATACTTCCTCGCCATCAGATCAGATGTCGTGCGAACAACTTAAAGTTCCTCTCGAAAAGGAGTTTTGCCGACCAAACTCGCTCGTCAGAACTTGCAGCGGATATTAATCAGTTGCCTATGGTGACTTTCAATGGTGAAAGGAGAAGACAAAGATTGCCGGTTCTCCTCTGTAGGGAATGAGGGAATGACCCCCAAAACCACCATCCCTTGTGGCTTCCTTTGCGTGACTCCCCCCAACACCGGTTCATTCACAACACCCGGACGCTGACATTTTCTTACGCTCGAAAGGACCACGGCTTTGCGGAAGTCCCCAAGGATGAGATGGTCCAGGCGCTGGCTCAAACCCCAAAGCTTTGCACGTCAAGCCCCAAATGGCTGTGGGTCAAAAATCGGTACCAAAATGGCACCTTGGCAAATGGAACCAAAGACTAAAACCGGCGCAACCCTGGCTCTAAATTTTTGAGCCACACCCAAATGGCTGTGGTTGTCAAAACCAATGGGGTCCCATTTTGGGGTAGGCGAATTCACCACCCAGTTTAGAACCTATTTTAGTGGGTATGCGCATGTTTTCTGGGGGTACGGGCTTTTGACCCATGGCCAAATCGACCCCAGTGATGCTACTGGCGGGCAGTCGTTGCTATGGTGAATCCAGCTACCACTGGGTTTTGTCCTTGGTATTGGTTCACTTCCCCCTGGTTTTTGTTCAGCAGAACCAGTTGCTGGGAAGACGCTGTCCAGTATAGTCTTGGATGGTTTTGCAGTCGCAGAATTACAGGTCCGCTGTTTGAAGCCAGCATTGCTAAAAAAGGTGTCCTCGAACAGTGCAGCTATCCCGGGTTACTCCACCCGGGGTGTCAATCCGGGCTGGGCTTGACTGGGTGCTTCAATACCATTCATCGAGATCTTAATACTATGGTGGTCACGTGTTGTCCAAGCAATAGGATGTCAACAAGACAATGACAACGGTTTTCTTTGCTTTGCCATGCTTCACCTTTGGCCATCCAAAGAGGGGGTCCCGTAGGACAAACACCTGTGTCGAATCTTGATATGGCCATCGCTCATTCAATTGACACCATGTGACCAACTAAATCTTATGTTATCCCTCTCTCTCTCCTCTTTCGTTCTCGCTCGCGGATTTGAGGCCTTCCAAATGGTTTCGTTTGGTTTCCTTCCCAAGTCAACAACTTGTGTCCCGTTGAGACGGATTGAATGCATTGGTCGCTCAGGCGCAGCGAGAGCAGAATGAGCTCAGGGACGATCTGGAGGAGACATCAGGGGTGTTTCAACTCATTGGGGACAGCACACCGAAATCTACGAAATTATCATAGTGCTGAATCTGGAAAGCATCTAAAGTATGCACTGCACATCTCCTTTTCACCTTTGAGGATGGGATTTGATTGTTTGTTTGATTGATTGATTGATTGATTGATTGATTGATTGGTTGATTGGTTTGATTGATTGATTGATTGATTGATTGATTGATTGATTGATTGATTGATTGATCGATTGATCGATTGATCGATTGATCGATTGATCGATTGATCGATTTGATTGATTAATTATTTGATTGATTGATTGATTTGATTGATTGATTGATTTGATTGATTTGATTTGATTTGATTTGATTTGATTGATTGAATTGATTGATTGATTGATTGGATTTGGATTTGGATTTGGATTTGATTTGATGTGATGTGATGTGATGTGATTTTACTTGACTTGAATTGCTTGCTTGATTGCTTGCGTGCGTGCGTGCGTGCTTGCTTGCTTGCTTGCTTGCTTGCTTGTTCGTTTGTTTCTTTGGTTGCTTGCTTGCTTGCTGGCTGGCTGGCTGGCTGGCTGGCTGGTTGGTTGGTGAACTCGGCGTGGCGTGATCTACGCATGGCCACCAACCTGACTTTGTTGGGGCCGGGCATCCAACAAAGATACCATGGCGAGGTGACAGGTTGGCTGAAGATTCCCAGGGCTGGTCTTGGAAGGGTACCATGGCTGACAGGTAAATGGATCCAGGAAATTCAGCTGCCAGGAAGGGATGGTATTTATTAACCGTATTAACGCCTTCCAAGCCTTCCAACGTGTTGTTTGTTTGTTCTTTTGTTTCCACAGGTGCCTTGGATTAGAAAGAATATTAAGTTCGTTGGAGTCGGAGTCTTGCATAGGATCTGGAACTCCTCGCAGAGAAGGCGTCAGGCCCGACTGTGCAATTGGGGCCAAGTGATGGGTTTCGTCCCCCTGGAACCCCAAACAGGCCATCATGTTTTGAGAGACCTCCTTTTGGCAGGCCATTTGTTGGCTTCCATGCGCAAATTGCAGGGGGGTAGTGTTAGGATCATAGAACCCCCAAAGAACCCTCCAAGGCGATATTGAGGATATTCGGGACCCAGTTGCTTTCCTTTTCTCAAGGGAGATCCCTCTTTGAGGGGCGGGGTGCTTTTGTTTTATTTTAATCTCCGCAAGGTAGGAGTCCGACTTTGAGCCACGTGGGTGTCCTATGGCAGCTGAGTTCCATCGAACGCTACGTTCGGAAACAGGGCTTATTCGTTCCCATACAGATGCTCTGCAAGTTGCGCATAAGACAGGCTGGCAAGGTTTGATCAGCCCCTCAATTATGATTAATTCAAAGCACGGAAACATTATCATGTGGACAAACTGATGTTCACAAAAGTCTCCCGTGGGCGTCGACTCTTTATTACATGAACAAATACTGGCGCCATGACAATGCATCATTTTGCCGGGGATCACCCATTTCCCAACCATCATGGAAGTGGATTCGGGGCCTACAAAGAGGACAGTGGTCTCCCAAAGCCTTACTCTTCACTTCCACGATTGTTGGAAAGGGGGTGGACAATCAGTACTTCCATTTGCTTAAGAATACGTGTTATTTTCTCTGTTGGATTTAAAGGAAATCTATCACTACGTGAAATATTGTTTTTTCCGGGGTCTTAGCCAAATGATGGATTAGCAGACTCAGAGACGTTGCAAAAGAGAGGCAAGCGGTCGCTCCTGCCGGATGTGCTCGCCTCAGCATACGGTGGAAGCTTTCGACCGATTTCCTTCTCCAACAAGTACACAAGTACCCAAAGTTGTTTCGGATTCCTTGAGGTGGGGGGGGAGGGTGGGGAGTGGGGGGTGTCGGGGGGTGGGTGTGTGGGGGGGTGGGTGTGTGGGGGGGTGGGTGGGGGGTTGGGGGGGGGGGGGCTCCTTGGGAATGAACAAAATGTCGTCTGACTGAGACTTTCTGATTACTCCTTCGGCCCACGTTCCTGTGGACGGATAAGTGTGGTGGCATGTTCGGCCGGATGAACATTCCTACAGGAACAGCACGGGGAACAGGGCTCATGCCAGTGACAGCATCACCAGTACCAGTGTTAGGCAAGGAAGTGTTTCTTTCCGCTGACTAAATGCAAGTTTCGCGCCGTAGACCAATGTAGTCGATTCCTCCATCATCGCCAGTGCTTCAGTCAAGCAAATGTTTCTGAGCTTGCTATTAGTAGATGCCGCCACCTGTTGCTGCTGCTGGTCCAGACTCTCAGCCGGAACGAGTTCCACGGTCTTTTCAGCTCGCAGAGGGGTGTTTCCTTGGTGCCGGCTTGATCATGATTGTTGAGCGCTTTGACGCTCGCATTCAGACAGGGGCAGATGTGCCTTTTGTCCGTAAGCCAAATTGGTCAACGACCAGGTTCGTCACCAAAGACTGTCAAAAGCACAACGGGTCACGTCAGCCTCAGCTGCAATTGTTTAATTTGTTGGGCAAATAATGTTGATGCCATTGAATGACTTTGGAAACTCGAGATTGGAGTCCACGGCAGCTATGATTGTAATTAAGACTATGAACACTGCACGTGATTCTGCGTTCCGCCGTCTCATGGCTGAAGCACTGGTGATACTGGTTTTGTCGAACACGTTACTCAACAAAAAGCAGAACGCGCCGCCGAACAACATGGAGAACAAGAACAAGTCTAATCATCGCAACGTCCACATTTAGTCAACCGAAAGCGTTTTGTTTACTTGAATGCCCGTGATGCGGGGGAGGGAGGGATCGATCAATTTAGTTTGCGGACTCGTGCAGCATCTACTTTAAGTTAACGGAAATGCAGCTTGTTCACATGGTGATGTAAGTGGTGTCGAACAGTCTTTTCTACGGACCAGCACTGACCTTAGTCAAGCCATTTTCTTGGCTAAAACGTATTGATGCTTTTGCGGCGGAAACTATCAAAACTACACGCGATTCCGCTTCCCGCAGCTTGCTGCACATTAGAGGGCATTGATTCGTCCAAATATCGTTCTATGCTGTTTTGATGCTGGGAAGATCTGAGAACAGGGGCTTCATTCTGACTTTGATTTGCCTGACTTTTGCAACGATGAAGGGCGTCGTTTTCAGCACAGCACGGGAAAGTAGCGATGGTACAAATCTTATTGTAGTTTTCCATGGTGCTAGATGCTGCCTTCATCCAATGAACTCCTGACGCAGTTCCGAGCTACTCATTTAGAACGCACTGCTGCTCAGGCTGCTCCGGGTTCCTTTTCGGATGTCGTGTATGTCTGACCGTGTCATTTCTTTGCCAAGCTTTCTTAGTTTCGCTGCATGTTGCAAACTCTTGCAGACTCTGAGTCAATTCAACCACGACGTGAAAGTAGCGATGACATTGAGCGAACTACTGGAGCAAGATGGCAGTAATATCTTACATACAGATGATACACCTGTCGCTTCATTCGTCGGGCTGCTCAAGGGCAGGGAGGCACTGTGGCGTGTTCACCCTTTGATATTCAGAATTCATATTGTTTATATGGACATATTCTTCTTTCAGAGCCCATATTTCACATTATCCAGTCATTCAAGTGCTAGCCAGCCACGAACGTCTTGCATCAATGACACGTCCTTCTTCAAAGCTGTCTGGAGCGGAATGGATGCAAGCCATGACTCAACCTCTGTTGCACATGAGCCATGCGAACCATGCCATGTGGGTATGTGTCAAGATAGTGGGTGCGTTTCCCTGGAGTTGCCTTTCAACCAAGCTGAACAAGTACAACTTCTCTTGAAAGGGCAGCTCCAAATTTGGGCTTCCTTTTCATGCTCAGATCCCCAACCAGGGGTTTTCTTTGAATCGGCTTGATTCTTTCGCTGTCGGCTCAAGCACAAAAACATCGCCAGACGTGCCGACACATAAGCGCCGCGTGGGACTAACGACAATGTGGACCTCTTGAGCAAAGCAACACAAATACGGAGGCAAACATTTTTTGCGGCACCACCATTCAGCATTTGCAAAGGTTGAGTTGGGCTTCAAGAAAGCCTTTCAACCGAAAGAGCGAGCTGAGATGGCGCAAACTCCATCTCCCGATCGGAGTCCAGGTGCGTCCAGCCTGGCGTTTCCTTTGCCTCGAGGCGTGTGGGCCCGATCCTTGGGCTACCTCCCTGCGCCCGAGGGCCTTGTCGCTGCACGGTGCCGCAAGGGCCACCCAGCGCCCAGGTGCCTGGCGCCGGAGTTCAGAGACCTGTGGATGCCGGAACGCCTGGCGCTGGTGACCTTGGAGGAACTCCGAGTCTCCAAGATCATGGTAGACATGGGTGGACTAAAAATATGTTGTCTTTCTGTGGGGGTAGTACTAAATAGAAATTGAAATATATATTTTTCTGTGAGTCTAGACTAACCAGAAATCAGGAGATGCTGTTTTCTGTGGGCGGGAAGGGCAGCATGTGAAGCAACTAGCCTCATGCCCATAGCCTCTGAATACCCTCGGAGCGAGGGTTAGCTTGGCCCAACCGTGATTCTAGGGGTTGTTTCCAACAGTTCTTTTCAACCATCGTTTTCGTTTTGCAACAGCCAGCTGTTTCCCCAGGGTTTTGGGTGTTTTTTTTTAGAAAGGAGCCTGGAAAGAATGGTTGGAAGGTACCCCCAGAATGATAGAATGATGGTAGTGTCCCTGGTGGTCTCCCCTCAAAGAACCCCAAAAGAGGTCGTTTAGACCAGATTGAATCCATTGGAACATGTGAGTTCCACTGGGCCAAAGCAACCCCGAAGTCCCGAAGGGCCTGCTGCTGGCGGATGACGAGCTGTGTTGCTGCCTCTCCTTCGGCGTGGAAAAACTGCGGGACTTCCAGGTGGATTGGCTGAAGCACCTGGACCTCCCCTTTGAAGGGAAAAAGGGAGGCTTTTGGAATGGCAATGGCTCGAAAACATGTACCAAAATGGCATCTTCGTAAATGGAACCAAAGACTGAAACCTGCGCAACCCTGGCTCTTGACTTTTGAGCCACACACAAATAAGAGGTGGCACACTACCCCTATGCACGCAAGTACAGCGGAAGACTACAGCATGGTGGAACTGTGCCATCTACCTTCGCCCAACTGTATATTTGGATGGCTTTTCAAGTAGGGTGCCCGCAAAATGTGTTTGTTTCCCTTGTGCTTTCCCCTGAAACCCACCTAAAACGGGTGCCCGCAAAAGCAAGACATATATACATATTTTTGTGATATGGCCTATGGGTCAAAAGCCTGTACCCCCAGAGAACATCCCAATCCCCAGTTTAAAAATAAAGAACCAAAATGGGTGGTGAATTCACCTACCCCAAAATGGGATCCCATTGGTTGTGACAACCACGGCCATATATGTTTCAGCAAGGGATTGGCACAGGGGTCGCCCCAGGTCACAGCGTGGCCTGGCTGCCTGCTGCTGGGTCTCCTGCCATCGCCAGATCACTCATGCGACCTGGGGGAATTTGTGCAGGTGAGGCGGACCCCGGTGCAGGCGGCTGAGGCGCGCGACTCCGTGCTTGGGATGGTGCCGTTTTGGTGTTGGCGTGGGTTTACAGGGAAACCACAAGGAACATCAACACTTTGTTGTCTTGTTCTTCTTTTTTGGGGGGGGGACCCGTCCGCATGTGTTTGACTTTTGGGCTGCCTGTTGCTGCAACACCAAGGAAATCCCTTCAAAGCAGCAAACGTTGGGAATCAATGACTTTGGTATCGCAAACAGCTGTATTTTTACACAAACGTGCTGAGGCCTGCGACCTCTTTCACGCTCTCGAGCTGGGCCGACGCACCATCCGTTTGCCGCCGCCCATAATCCAGCAGGCAATGCAGGAGCTGACGCAGCCTGAAGTGACGCCAGAGATGAAGTTCCTGTGCGACTTGGGCTTGCTTGGCTGGCGCTTTGTCGCGAAACTGCCGGCCAAGAGCGCGTGGGAAGGGATGGTGTTTGAGAATCCGGGCGACAAGGTCGGGGTTTGCCATTTGACTGTTGTTGGGGGGAATCAGGAAAATTAAAGGGACTCCTCTTCAAAGAGCGTTTTTGGAATGTCCCTCCATTTTCCAAATACGGCAACAGGTAAAAATCCTTGGACCAGGTGCCGTTAGCCTTGTTCGACCTGGAGGTCGACTTTAGCCTGCCTGGCGGCGACGGAAGTGTGGAGGCGGCGGTTGGCTTCATCAGCACGGATCTGGACTTCACTTATATGTTGCGGGACTTGTGCGAGTACCAGGTGTCGCGCTGGATGTCCGACTGCTGCGGCACCTGGGATCAGCTTTGTGCAGTGCAGCAGGGATACCCCAAGCCAAGGCAAGGTGAGGATGCGAAACACGTCAAGCGGAATACATGCAGCCGCCCAGGCATTGATCCGGCCCTGTACAATCGGTTCATCGTGGACGCGCCTGATCTGAGCGCGGCTTACAAGGAGGCGGCAAGACTGACGCAGCAAGTGTAGACAATAAACAGTCGCATTCGTTTAGCGCCCGTGCATTCTTTAAGGTGAAATCCACAAGTGGATTAGACCTCCGAACCAGCTAGAGCAAGAGGCGGCAGGGCGGTGTGGAGGTCCAGCACGAAGACGGAAGCCTTTTTTTCAGGTCCAGGTGGTTTGTCTTGGCTCCAGCTTGAACAAGCTTCGGATCTGAGCCATTTGGATGGCGCTGTGTTGACATGTCATCCTGGCAAGGCAAAGGAGCCGTAATTTGGACTGTATGGAAAAACATAAAGCAACCATGCGGACGGATGTGGAGGTTTTGAGAGCCATTTGGGGATTGGAGACACTCCCTTGAGCCACTCAGAAAGCCAACCCTCATTAGCTTGCGATGAGTGTTTCCAAACATTGTGGGCTCCTGTTTGGAAGGTGTTCTTGTCGGGGGTAGCAAGCTGTCCTCTGTTCCTGTTTCACCTCCAACACCCCGCGCCAAAAATAGGACCCTGCTCTAACCCCCAAAGCCATCATGTTTAGATGAAGCTCCTCAAAGGGAAATTTGGACCTGAACGGTTTCCATGTCAACTTGGACCACCTCAATGGTTTCCGAGTGAACTTCTGGGATATTTATTTTGTCCGGGTCAAACGCCCATTCTTATGTGTGCTAGGTGCCCCCCCCCCCCCCCCCCCCGCTTTTTTTGGGGGGGAGACACAAGCGAGCTGCCGTGGTTTTGGAGGGTGCCCGGTTTTGCGGGGTGGTTATTGGGGAGGTGTAGTACACATTTGGTGTGAATCCACATATTATGGTATACATATTATATATATATAAGATGTAGTATCCCGGCTTTTCATGCTCGTTTAGTCTTCCCGCCCCCCCCCCCCCCCCCCCCCGCCCGCTCTTCCAAGGAGGCGACCAGTGCGTTGAACCATTTGGCCGATGAAATGGCGGATCACCTGTGGCATGTGATCCTTGAGGAGTCGAAGCTCTTTTGGTTCACGCGAGTCGAGAGGGCGTCCGGTTGGTTTGGATTGGTTACTGGATTTGGGTTTGAACCCCTGCCCATAGAGGGCAAATGGGAAACCCCGCCTTAACCACCGATCCAAACCACAAGCTGATTTAAGGAGCTCACCTGAAGGGGAAGATGAGATGAAGCTTATTTACTTATGGTTTCGATATTTCCAATTTGTAAGTCATAGTAGTTTGCCCAAAGAAGGAGAGTCAACCAAACCGTCAAACAGGAAGCAGCTTCCGGGCTCAGGTTCGTCTGAGGGCTTGCCTTGACGCTTGGAAGGCTTATTTTTATAGTTTTGTTGGTGAACCCGAGATACGTTTGTTCTCACTTGCGATTCCGGGCACCGCCCTCACAAAAAAATGGTTTCTGGTTCCTTTCCACGCATTTCCTGTGTGTTGGATTTGTGAGATGTTTAGAATTCTCCCGGCTGGGCACCCCCTTACGGCTTCCAACGGAGTCAAGCATCTGCTCCAAAGAAGGGTAGGTTGGCAAAAAAGTGCGGACCACACATGAGAGGTTGTCTTTGACTTGCGCATAGATCATAGATCTTGGGATCGAATCGGAGGCCGTGGGGCACGGGTATTGCTTAAAGCGCCAAAATAGAAACAAAGCAATTATAACCAACCTGGAGGCCTCATTTTGGGACACTGGCGTACCCAAATCATGGGGCCTCATTTTGGGACACTGGCAGAGGGGGCGACACGGGTGGAAGACTCAAAAAACCATAACCCTCTTGGGGATTTGAGAAAAATGACAACTTTGTTTATTCCAGTGACCCCTGGACGTCAAGTTTTGAGGTCCTTGTGAAGCTCGTTTCCCATGACACATGCCCATAGGTCACCTTCAGGAACTGGCCGAGCATATGGGATAAAGTCACGGGAAAAGCCATCCAGTCCTTTGCATGGGCGACTCAGGGCCCTTCCATGCTTTTGATGCCGAGCGATGTGTGAAGCAGGACCCTTTTAGGATGGCAGAAACTGAACCAAGACAGCACCAAAGGTTTCAACTTTAACAGCCTTCATGCCCGCATCAAAGTGTTCATGCCAACACAGCCTCAAGCAGAGTCCCCTTTGTTTTGTTTGCAGCACAATGCGTTCTTTCTTCGGGTCTTCCCAAGAAATGCAACGCGAAGCGCAAAGACCTTGTCTCTGGCCTCAGGAGATGCAAGAAGCCGAGAGGCGTGTTGCGAACCCAAGCCCAAAATGCTTCGGTTGCAGGCAGCGGGGTTCCGTCTGCGGTATTGCAAGTAGAGATACATCATGGGCTGACGCAATCAGGTTGTGCATGCCCTATGGTACCTCACTTTTTCCGCGGTCTCATCGCTTTTTCCCAAAACCGAGACCGCTACCTGGGCCTTCAACAGGGAGTTACTTGAGGTCTACCGGCGTCCCGTGCCGAGGGCTCGGTGATGTTGACCCGTCAGGGCGGATCAATAGGGTTCAGCTCCAAAAGAGATTTCCTTTTGTCCCCGTTGAGATCGGACAACCATTTGTTTCTACTCAATCAGTAGTTTATGCATACTCGTTTCCCATAAACATCCAACCCAACGACCGAGTTCCAGAAAAATACCAGTACCTGAATGTGCCAAAGACAGGGAAAGAAAGATTTAGAGGAAACTCCTTGCGGGGATTTGGTCCCCCCTTTGAATTTCCATCTTCAGCGTTGCAGGGGAGCAAGCGAGTTGTTCGCATCCAAGTAGCCAGTGGTGAGAACACAAACCGGCTGAATCGTTCAGCCATGGAAAAGTTGAAACTTGGCGAGGACAGAATCATTTGGCACCCTTTGTTGGATTTGTCCAAGGGTAGCTATCTCAGGATGTTTTGTCGTCGAGATGATTTCTTTGCATTTTTGCCCAGTGAGGGTTCTCGAGATAGATGCTTTGTATGTCACAAAATGCATGGTTGTGGTGCAGGTGTGAATTCATGAACACTGGAGTGACGCTTGAGTCACTAAAAGCAAACAGGTTTGGAGCGCAAGTCGCGGGTCGCGAGGTCGCGGGTTGCGGGTCGCCGGTTGCGAGCCATAAGGAAAAGTTTCCGCACTTCGGTAAGCCCCGAGCTTAAAGGTAGCAAGGGCCAATTCAGTTGTACTTTTGGAAGTTGCCTTGTATGCTTAGCTCTTGCCTAGCCAGTGCCCTTACCCCATAGCCCCGAGATGGCTATCATACCCTGCGAAAACACGATCATTTCTTCCCAAACGCCCGATTGATTATTTTTTGTTGGTGGCCAGGTCCAAAAGGGGACCCCGAATCGATCGGATCGCTTCAGCCAGCCAGTCCTCCAGCGTCTCGAGATGAGGAGCCGCCGGGGGAAATACTTAGGCCTAGGCACCTCCCGCGCCGACTCGATGTCGGCTTGAGGGCTGGCGTTTTTGAGGCTTCAAAAAAGGCTGGTTGACTGTTTGTTGAGCTCCAAACAGGTTTCAGAGAGAAATCCCAAGGTTGCTTTCACAAGCGGTTGGCCCCCCCCCCCGCCCTCCACAAAGACGGCTTCCTTTTTTGAGGCAACTCCAACGAAGGTGTCAAACGTGGCTTTCCTTCAAGACAACCACAGAAAGGTGAGGTTTACGGCTTTTGTTTGAGGGAATTCCAAGAAAGACACTATGCCTATGGTGTCCCATCGTCCCATTTTCTTCTTGGGGAGCTCATGGCACAGGTGGTTTCAAACGGCATGTTTGCCTTTCACACGGGTTGGCTTTCGGTGTTTCACCTGTCCCGACCTAAAGATCGATCTGAGACTCATTTGCCTGGCCTCCAAAGTTGGAGCTTCCGGAAACCAAGGCAACCCCGTATTCCAAGTGAACCCACGAACGGTGAGGGAACCGCACGGAAATACATCACCCGAATCGGTTGGTCAAACCCAGTTGAGTTACTCACTACATGCAACCCATATCCCCAGAAGATTGAACCACTTGAAACTGCAAGGATCGGACAAAGGCGAGGCACACCTTGATTTATCTCGTGAAACAGGAGCACAAATGGGCAATTTACATTTCCTGGCTGTTAGGGACACCTCACACCCTCAAATAGCTCCTTCTTGAAAGCGCAGGCAGTAGTCCGGAGCCCTTTGGCCTAAAATAGGAACCCCCTCATGAGCCCAACCTTCACTTGATGATGGGTGCGGTCGCATGTTGGTTTCATGTGCTATTTCGCGAAACACGTGGTTGGTTGCCACAGTGACCAGTTTAGGTTCCGAAGGCAGCACAACATGACACCTGCGTCCTTTATCGGACCCGGCTCAGACGTCACCCCGCCTACATGATATTTCCTCTATGGAATCTCACCCCACCCAGAATGACAGGAAGCCTTTCTTTCGACCTAAAGTCCATCCGGTATCTGAATGTCCGACCTTGATTTCAAGCTTTGAGCTTCCTTTGAGTGATGCTTCCTCACAAAAAACTGGAAGGAATGTGTGAGCTAGCCCGTTGGCGGTCTTGAACCTCGCAGACCATTCGAGCTTAGCTATGTATTGAAGCCTCTCTGTCCATACTCGGGGCATTTGTTTATCACGCGTAAGCCAGAGTTTGGTAGTGCAGCTCTTTGATAAACTTGCGCCGCATTGCCATGGGGCAACTGGACGAATACACTAAACCTTTCGCAAACCTTTGGCCACGGCTTTTCTGGTTGTTTCTGGAATTGCCAGGAGGGCATCTTTGATTATGCGACCAGCGGCATTTTGTTTATTCCCATGTTCAGTTTTTTTCTATAGTCCATACCCCTCCAATGATTTTTGTCTCAAGTAGCCAGACCTTGGACGCTTCTGACGCCTCCACTCGTGTGTTTCCAGCCCAATCGTTTGGGGCTTCACCACTTTGGTGATCCCCGAATTTGGAAACAAACCTATTTTCCCTTGCTAGCAACAAGTTGAAGTAGTGCACCTCAACCCATGCGCTAGGCGTTAACCGGCGCCTTCGCGAAGCGTTTGAGCTCGTGAGTGAAGCAAAGACGCAGTTGGTCCAACTCCCAGTGTTGCACACTCGACACGTTCGGCAGTTACCGCGTTTTTTGTTGGTTTAGCTGAATTGGACTAGATCAGAGTCTCACCATCCAGCGAAGATCGCTGGACAGTGCAAGTTTTAATAATGTGAGGCAGAAATATGTGCTGAACATGTGACGTGTATACTTGCTTTCGTGATAGTGTTCGATCGTTAGAAGCTTATAAAGTTCACAGCATCGAGTTTGGAATGGTCCTCCCACATATTTTTATCGCAGAAGCATGAGCAGGCTGCTTTACGATTTGGCAGCATAGCTATGATCCGGAAATTATTATGAATATTATGATCGATACTTATTTATATATTTTTGTTTAAAATGATTTGATTTATTAAATATGAGAAAAAAACATATTTATATATATATATAATTTTTAAAATAATGTAATTTAAATAAATGTAAATATAATAATTGAATTAACATATATAATATATATTATTAATTTTATAAAATATTTAAATAATTTATAGAAATATAATTGATTAAATTTGATGTATTTTTCTTAACGGCTGAAAGCTTTGGGGTTTTAGCTTAGCTAGGCTCCGGGGTGGGTTTTGAGTTAAGGTTTTACTAGGGTGCTACGAGGGTTTTACGAGGATTTTATGAGGGTTGTACGAGGGTTCTTTACGATAATTTTACGAGGGCTCTTTACGATAATTTTAACCATATTTTTATTAAATGATATATAATATAAAATTATGTTGAAAGAAATTATATGAATATATTTAATTTATTTAGTTATTTTAGTTTTTATTGTGCATAAAGCTAAGGATTTGGTATGTTACGGGGGGATAGGATGTTATTGAGATATTTCTATTATAAAATAGTTCTGGGAGCGTTGGAGGTACATTTGGGTGAAATTGGTTGAAGCACGTGAGAAATGCGGTGTGTTATGGGGGAAGTGCTTGTTGTTTCTTGGAAGGTTGATGTTTATGACGCATATATCGTAGCGAATGTTGGTGAAATATGGTGTGCCAAATGTTTGGATTTGCTCATGGGGTGAGATCCGGTTGTTGCCGGGTGAGCGATGTGCTAAGCAGTAGGGTGAAATGTGGTTTCGTGGGGTGTGAAACCGCGTTGGGTCGTAGTGGTATTTGAGCGGAATCGTTGTATTTGTAGCGTTTTTCTTTTTTTTTTCTGTTATGAGTTATTGGATTTTTGTATAGTTTAGTTATATTGTTTTTGTTTTTCCGCCCTAATAATTAAAAGCTTTGAAATCTCAATTTAGATAGGTTTTTGGGTTGGTTCGGGCCGGCTTATGGTTTTTTATTTCTTTGTGTTTCTATGTTGTTGTTTTGTTATTTGTTGTTTTTGGTCTTATTTTTTGTTTTTATTTGTTTGTGTTAATTTTGTGTGCGTGTTTGTTTTTGTCTTCTTTTTTTTTCTTTGTGTTTTTTTTGGTGTTTTTGTCGTCTTGTTGTTGTGTTTGGTGTTGTTTATTTTATTTCTGTTCTCTCTATTTTTGTTTTTTGTTTTATTTATATAAATATATATATATATATATTTGTTATGTGTTTTTGTTTTTTAAATATATGTTTATTGTTTTGTTTTTTGTTATTTTTTTCTTTTTGGATATACACTTCTTGCCTGTGCTCGGGTAAGCACCAAACACGAATCATCATAGGATTATTTGACTCACTCACTTCTATTATTTTGTTAATGTCATATTCATCTATAATATTAATAGTTTTACTTTCATAAAATGGTATTTCTACTATTTCATTTCTAGTAACTTTATATTTTATTATAGGTAAATTAATTTATTCATCTTGCTTTGAAACCTTCTAACCTCCTATATCAATATGAAATTCTATTAGGTGCCTTGCCTTTTCTATATTGCAAGTATCAACTACAAAAGTATCGGTTTTAACACTATATGCATTAGCATTATTTAATTTTGATTTGAAAACATCTTGATTCATTTGAAAATTTATGATGTTGCAAAAGTAGTTCCTAACATACCTATATCCATTTCTTAATTCTGGTTTATCCTTGAAATTCAATATAACATATGATGCCTTCATATTATCTTTCTTCATCATCTTCTTCATTTTCTATATGGGGTAAGTTATAATGTTTACCTTGGTCTTTAGTGTGGTAATGGATTGCCTCATTAATATTTTGAAATACAATGTCTTGATGTCTGGTAGCACCTCCTTCATCCAATAATCCAAATTGATATTCCCTATTATATTTTAATTAGTTTATCTATTATTTTATCATTCTTATTTAGATCAATTGTCCAAAATTCATAAATACTATTTTTGTAATCGCCTTTATGAACACACGAAAACTGTTTATAATATATAATCTTAAATTAATATTTGTTATTCTGTTTGATGAACTCTTTTAGACAATTGCCATACATTAAATTATTTTGTTTGTTAGATATTAAGCACTTATTGTCGGTTTTCAATAAATTTTCCATCACAAATTGTTGAAAGGTGTTTATATCCATTTGGCAAAAAAAATCTTTAATCTAGATTCACTGTTGCTTACAATTTGTTTTTCCGGTATTCGAATACATTTGTTTCAGGCGTGCGTAAGCAGATGAGACGAAGGAAAGCTGTCTGCGAGCCTGCGGGATAAAAACAACTAGAATGCATGAGGGCGGTCCAACCTATAGAAACTCAAGGAAACCGAGAAAAACACAAATAACCTGGAAAAAAGCTACAAAAGCAAGAAAAACTTAAAAAACCTCGGGAAAAACTAAAAAACCAAAGCCCCCAGGGAAATATTTAAGTGCCAGGCTGGAAACCTTTTGCCAGGGGCTTTGGTTTTTTGTTTTTTTTGTTTTTTTTTTAACTTTTTCCCGAGGTTTTTTGAATTTTGTAGCTAGTGATACGAAGGTTCTCTGCTCAAGTGACAGGGGTCACAATGCATCAATGTGTTGGCTGCTTGCGGTCTGCGCAGTGTCCCAGCCCTGAAGCCATCATATAGCAGGAATGTGCAAAAACCCAGCGCTGGGGACACTACTTTCTAGAACTCTATTTCTTGATTTATTTATATATATATATTTGTAAAGTAATGTGAATAAAATAATTAATTGGTTTTTGAAATATATATTTTATAATATTTTGGAATTAAAATAATTTGTTTTAATATATTAAAATATATATTAGTACTCTTTAAATATATATATATATATATAAATATTATATAAAGATTGATTTTATGCTTTTCATTGTTTTTAGATAATCTATATGTATTTTTTTTGAAATCTAAATATATATATATATATAAACAAGAAATACAATAACCCATTAATAACAGATTTTCTTTTTATTTAAATGAATCTTAAAAATATATTTATTTATAAAATTATAAAGTTTAATTGGATCCGTTTTAAAAATATATTGTTTCAATATTCTAGAGAATCTAAAATTAGGTTTTATTAGGAAATATATTATGAGAATTAGTCTTTTAATTAAGGAACCGCTCCGGATCCTAATATAAATTTCGATAAAAGAGTCAGCCAAATCCTATACACGGATTTAGAGGGTAAATTAAATATTCCAAAAATATGTTTCATATTTTAAATGATTCGAAATTAAATAAGATCCTAATAAAGATTTTTAAATTTTAGATGTTTAAATAGTATTAGTTTAAAAAAGACCCGACCACTATGTTTGGGATTTGTCTTTGTATTTTAATTGATAAAAAAATGAGTTTAATAACAATAATAATTCGAGTTTTTGAGTCTTTTTAATTTATAAAATTAATTTTATATTTTTCTATATATCATGACGGCCTTATATTGCATCGGATATGTTAGGTTGTTCACTTTGTTTTCTACATAATTCTATAGAACTTTAACAAAAATATAAGATTTTAGAACTGTATTAGTAAGTTGGTTGCTTTTATCGCTGGATGTTGGGTATTACATTACGAATTTGAGGGTTTAATTATTTGGCTTGGATTTGTATTTAATATTTGATTATTAAATTCTAAATGATGCTAATGAAAAAAAAACATGTTTTAAGAACATTTTTAATTTAAATAGCGGAAACTATTCTAAATTTTGGTATCCGGTATTTGGATTACAATGATTCTAATGAATGGAATTTTGTAAATTAAGGTTCGATTTCAGATTTTTGGAATATAAAGAATTTAAGAGATATGTTTTAGAAGTTATATAATATAAATGGCTTGGTTAGGTCTTTTTGGATTTAGATTATGTATTTTTATTGAATTTTGGATTTAATCAATATGTTCAAATTCGTTTTTTAATTATTATGTTTAAATATCGATTAATTATATCCAATATTTGAAATATAGTTTAAAATAATAAATAGAAGAATTACGATATTACAAATTATTTTCGTAAATCTAATACATTTAGATATAAAATCAAATTCTTATATATGATTTGTTTACCAAACCAAGAACTCTGCAATCTTCTTTTAACTTTTTAGGGTGGTTTAAAATTGGTTTTGAGGGCAATTTGCAATCCCTTATACCCGAAGATCGTGAGCCGAAGGTTATTAAGTCTACTGCCTAAGATTCGCTTTCCGATCGTTCAACAAAACACACTCTTAGACAAGCGACCCTGAAAAATGCCCTTAAGCAAGAGGACCTTTTAAAAATGACCAAAACTAGATATACACCAAACAAAGGGGGTGTCTATCTATCTATCTCTCTCTTTCTCTCTGTCTCTTTATCTATTCATATGTCTCTCTCTCTCTCCATCTCTCTTTCTATCTATCTCTCTAGCTATTTTTCTATCTGTTTATCGATTTATCTCTCCATCCATATCTGCACTTAAAAGCTGCGATTTTCAAGCCCCGAAAACTAGCTTTGCGTAAAAAAAATGCGATTTTCGCCCAACTACGAACATGGAGTTTATATACTATTTGTCGTACTTAAAAATTGTGATTTTCTAACCCCAGCTGCGAAAATTAACTTCGCATACTACTTTCGTACTTAAAAAAAAACACCTTTCAAGCCCCAATTGCGAAGGTGGACTTCGCATACTACTTTCGTACTTAAAAATTGTGATTTTCAAACCCCAGCTACGAAAGTGGACTTCACATATTATTTCATATTTAAAAAATACGAATTTCCAGTCCCAGCTACTTCATATACTACTTTCGTACTTGAAAATTGCGATGTTGGAACCCTAGCTGCGAAAATTGACTTCGTATATTACTTTCGCATTTAAAAATTGCGATAGTCGAAAATGGACTTCATATACTATTGTCATACTTGAAAGTTGCGATTTTCAAGCCCCAGCTACGAAGGTGGATTTCACATATTATTTTTGTACTTAAAAATTGCGATTTTCAATCCCCAGCTGCGAAACTTGATTTCGCTTAAAAATTGCGATATTCGAGCCCCAGCTGCGAAAGTTGACCTTACGAAAATGCTATGCCTGCCACGAAATCTATACTTGGCCTTGCGAAAATGACGCGCTTGCCACGGATTTTGCACTTAACCTTGCCAAATTGCTGTACCTGCCACGAAATCTGTACTTGACCTTGCGAAAGTGCTGCGCCTACCACGAAATCTAGACTTAACCTTACGAAAATGTTACGCCTACCACGAAATCTGCACTTGACCTTACGAAAATGCTACGCCTATCACGAAATCTATAATTGCGAAATTGCTATATCTACCACGAAATCTATATTCAACCTTGCGAAAATGTTATGCCTAATATAGAATCTATATTTAACCTTATAAAATGATTATACCTATCATAAAATATATATTTAATCTTACGAAAATACTATACTTATCATATAATTCAAACCTTGCGAAACCTCCGCGCAGCCGTGCCAATGGATCCGTCTCCGGACCCGTTCCAAAACCATTCCAAGACCGACTCCATACAAACATCGCGTCCGAAGCGGTTTACACACTATCCAGAAATTCAATTCATATACAATACCAACATTTCTACATCTTATAAACTCGAAGAAAATAAATCCAACACCTTATAAAAACATTATGCCTATTATAAAATCTATATTTAACCTTACAAAATGCTACACCTACCACGAAACTCAAACCTTACGAAATCTCCGTACAACCGTGCCAAAAAACCCGTTTCCGAGTCCACTCCAAAATCGTTCCAAAACCGCCTCCGCACAAGTATCGCGTCCGAAGAGGTTTACACATTATGCGGAAATCCAATTATTAAACCAAAAATTATAAAAAAAATCCATATAAATAAATTCATAATATATTAAATTTTATCAATCAATAAAATATATTCATTTTCAAAAAATATAAAAAAAAAAATCCCATAATCAAACTAAACAAAACCATATTAACACCAAATAAGAATAATATCAATAATCAATTACCTTTTTATATTTCAATTAATAACCTTTCACAACTCGAATATTACCAATCATACAATTCAATAAATAATCATTATTCATACATAATCAATTACAAAACACCTTTATAAAAACAATATATATTGCATATTATCATCTATTTATATTCATTTTTTTAATAATATAATATTCATAATATTCAATATCCTCTATACATAATAATATCTCCCGGGTTTCGAGACCCATAAACATTAACATACTCGCAAAGCCGGCGCTAATTTTTGGGTAAACTCCCCAAGAACAACATATCTATGTGCCATAGATAAAGAGGATCTTTTGTTCGTATTGGAAATGCGTACCCGCGAGCTGGATAGCTTCGCGTACAAAGCAAACAGTGGCAAAGCGTACGAGAATTATTAGCAATCGACCATGCCGATATGCAAAGAATCACGCGCGCAAAGCAAACAATTAGGGTTGTACACCGATCTGGGCAAATAGGCATGTCGGAATGTTAGCAAGTTACACAGCGCCCCCCGGGTTATTAGCAACAAGGAATAATACACGAACCCAAAAAGACGCAACACTTGGGATGTTGCACATCGACTCCCCAGATAGTTGCAAAAGCCCGACGTTTTTGCACATCGAGTATGCCGATCTCCACAGAAAATCGTGCGGAAATGTGAAGAATTGCAACATGCCGCGAGTTTTTAACACGCCGACCCTCCACGACGGGTGGCAATTTCGCGAAACGTGTCCTGCCACGGCGCCTGGAAAATGTGGTTAATTCAAGTGATATCTAAACACGTGAGATTTGTGTGAAGCTTTCTACAAGATTTGCCATGATATTTCATATGCAAGTGCAAAGTTTGGTCTTTCCGCAATCTCTAACACACAAACTCTCTGTGCATCTCTGCTCACCTTTCTATATGTCGCCTGTGCGCAGTTGTTCCTTCCGAAAAGCAAGCGATCTGACTGGGCAGAGCCCTTCACAATGCTTTCGGGGAGAAACACATCAATTCACAATCTATGGTCAAATGTGAGTAACTGCAGAAAATTGCATCATCTACAACTATATATATGTATGTATATACAGAGCTTTTCAACACAGTCCACGTTTGTAACGTACTTGCTGACAAGAAGAAAATATGTTGTCAGGTCAAGCTTGCCACTTTGCAACAAAACACGGGCGGACTGGGCAGGTTGGGTTTACGCCATGGCCCTCCAACTAAAGCGCAACGCTGGTCAGCAAATACAGCGCTCAAAACTTCAAACTCACCTCTAAATTCCATCAGTTTTAATTCTTCGACAGGACGCACGGGTGCATTATCGAACAGGAAAGAAGGGCTGTTGAATCAAACCATCTTCGTTTCTGGACTCAGCCCTTCTTCCCCATCAGGAACGATCCGAATCGTCCTCAGCCTCCACATCTGGTACTTCTTGTGAATCTGCCAGGGAAATCACATGACGTGCAAAGATTCAACAAAATGTGGCAAATGCTTGCAGCTCCATTGCTAACTTTGATGCCTGACTCCCGATCCTCAGTCATCAGAATTGCTTTGTTTAAATGACTTGCAATTGCCTTGCCCATGTCTCATTGCTGCACTGGCTCTGTATCGGTGTCACTGTCACTCTCACCTTGACGGCGGCAGCAGCTCCACTTCCGGAAGTAACACCTAAAGTGAGCGACAACCCACAGCTGGCCTTGCTCAGCCGCCTTCCCGAATTGTCCCACCAAACACCCTCACATCAGGCGACATGCGTGGCAAACACGTGAAGCTGGGTTGCTGTATCAAGCATCTTCCGGGCTCTAGGGCTGTAAATGGCAATGTCCTCAGCGCGTTCCGTGCCACACAGCAGCAACGCTGACTTTTGAAAGGCCAGGCGGCATCAGCCAAATCACGTGAGTGTGATCAAAGCCGCAGGCATCGTCTGACAAAGTACTTGCGCCACATGCAAAAACAACAACAAACGCATCGCGCCTTCCATCCGCGGCAAGAAACAACGGCAAAGCGGCCAAAGTGTGAGGAGAACTACCAGGACAGTCGCAACCTCTGGCTTTGGTGACTGTTTTTCCACTTTCAGTCACCTCCGGGCTAAGGTGGGGACCAACAAGATCCAAACGAAGGCAATGCCCACATAGATCAGGAATCCTGGCCTTGGTGCCACCATAAACCCAGCAACACCAATTGGAAGCCAGATGCCTCTGCAGTTTTGCCCCGACATGAAACACTGGTTCGGCTTGCTGTGAGAATTGTTTACCACTGTGCAGCAAAGAGGCATCAGCATGATTGCCTTCACAACCGTTTGGCTCTTCAGCACGTTGTTTCGACCTAGTGGTGCTTTCAGCAACGTCACTCACCCAAGGTTTGATGCTGAATCAGAATGTCATGTTTTGAGGGTAGCCTTTGTGTGGGTTGCATGAAAGGGAAACCAAACTTTAAGGAACACCTAGACAGGGATCCTTACATTATACACCTGAACATTGCCTTGTAAATGGTGGTGTCCCCTTGTTTTGGTGGAAAAAGCCATGATTCAAATGGGCAACATGTATCTTTTCAGGAGCACTGCTCCATTTTGGTGCTTCCCCCCCTTCCAAAAAAAGGGACACACGCGAATCCGTATCTTGGCGCTGGGCACCCAGCACTGACAGCACAGCAAGCTCAATAGCAGAAACAGGCCCGTGATCGGCGCCAAGGCCAGCGATACCACGAACAGCACCAGCGCCGTCAGCCTGGAGTTGACCCTCCCAATTCTCGGTGGCGAAATCTGCGAAGCCCTGCTAAAAGTGAATCACTTTGAGTGGTTTCATACGGAAAACCCATTGGTTGGCAAGCAGTTGTCCTAACATCCAAGCAAAATGCAACAAATAATTAACATGGAACCTGACACGGACCATTTTCCTTCAGGTTCCACGTGAGGTGGTGGGAGGGTACCCAATGTTCACCCAAGCAGTACGCTTCGTTGCTGTGCTGGTCAAAGAGTCTGCTGCAATCCCAGGCACATGAACACCAACCTCAGAGATGCAACACGCAGGCAGCTGGACCATCTGCAATGACTTGCCACCTTTTTGCGCACTCCATCAACCAAGCATACCTTGGTTCAAAGCCTTTGTCCGATTAGGTCATCCAAGAGGCCGGAATGGCACTGTCAGGAACCGCCTTTGTGGCACAACACAAGGAACGCCATTCCCAGCACAAAAAAGGAAACCAGCTCAAAATGTCAGCTGCTTAGTGCAGCAAAGATGCAGAATATTCAAAGCACCTCAAGCACATCCAGTCACATGCTTGAAGAAGAGGATTTGAGTGTCAGTTCGTGGTGCAGTGTGAACAAGAACCGGTTTCGCACTGAAAAAGGCCCCAATGAACTGTAAAATCCAGAAGATAATCCCAGTTTCTCTCAAAATGTGGGACGCAGGCATTTCACGTTGCATTTGCCGAGATGGCAAGCCTGTCTCGGGCAAGGCACAGCCTGGAGTTGTTGTGTCCGAGAACTGCCGACAGCTACCTGGGGAGAAAACATACACGTCAACAAAATGACGAGTGACTGCATCCATGCGCGTGCGATGTTTGTGAATGCCTGCGGTGTAGTGGTCAAAGACTCCGTTGGCTCCACCTGGCAAGTTTTGAGAACACATCTGACACAACAAACTGTCAGGTCCTTATGTTGTCTGCCCTTTATTAGCCGTGTTTTGGAGGCCCATCGGTTAAAACTTACCATTGCTTCCCGCAAGCAAACTCTGCGCTTGAGCAATGCTGCTTCCAATGACACAGGGAACCCGCAGACCTCACAAGTAATTCCTCCAAGATAGATCAAGGTGTTTTCCCTTCACCCTGCACCAGGTGCCAAGATGGGCAGTCAGCGGCCTTCAATTTCCCGACCGCAAACCCAGCACCAATGAGCTTTACAGGTCCTAGCAAGTGAACCATCTCTGTAACATGGGTTCAGAACAAACAGTCTGCACACGTGCCAGCTTGATGTGCTCCCATCTGATTCAAACTGTGATTCGGACAGTCCGGTCCTCTCAGCGCAGGTCATATGGTTGCATCCGCTGGTCTTCCTTTCTTGGCACCCGGCCAAGCTGCAGTGAAGGGCTCAGCATGCCGAGCTCAAGTAAAATAGCCAAGCGGCACCGTATGCACACCACACTTTGGACACTGCTTTGAGTCTGCTAACCTGCGCGGTGAGTGCTAGAGATCTGGTTTTGGCATTGCCACTCTTGTGCCGAGCGGGAGCCCAGCGAGCAACAAGGAACGATTTGCGTTTGCCTGTTGACCTTTGCCGGGTCAACTGGCAAACCCTTTTGCGGTCGAGCTGCACACCGTTGGCCATCTCTTTGAGTTGCTTGGATATCTGTCTGCTGTACTCGTCACATGGTCGGCCAGCATGGGCAGCAGAATGGTAGTAGCCTTGGACTGATATCCGTGTGATACAGCTGCTCACATGCAAACACGCACAAACATATACCACACAATACACACACACAAACACAGAGGCACAAGCACAAGACACAAACACGAAGACAAACACACAAACAAAGAAACAAAGGACAAAACAAACACACACACACACAAACAAAAAATGCACAGACACACCTTGGCATCCTTTTTTGGTTTAGTCCGGCACCTGTTACAGTCACCATCCCCAGCATCGTTTTTGACTCCCCCGGACATCACCACAAGCTTTGGTTTAGGCTGAGTTTAGGGTGGGTTCAAGGAATGTTTGGGGCGGGTTTGGGTTTGGGCACGGCTTGGGTTTCTTTAGGGTGGGCTTACGGTTGGTTTTGGTTGGCTTAGGGTTTGTATTGGGAGTGTGTAGTGCTGCTTTAGTGTGGGCTTGGGGTTGGATGTAGGTTTAGGACTGTTTAGGGGTTGGTTGGAAAAGGGAAAGCCCACCGTAAACCAGCATTAAACAATCCCTAAACCACCACACAAATTCCCCAAACAAACCCTAAGCAAATCCTATACCAACCCTAACCACAGTCACCACTAAACCACCAACCCTAAACCCTAATTCCACTGCAACCAGCACTCAACTAAACAGGCACCAAGTAATGCCTAAACCACCAAAATTTATGTCCAAACAAGCCCTAAACAAACTCTATACCAACCCTAAACCTATTTCAAAGTCGGTTTAAGGCTGGTTTAGGTTAGGGCATAGAGTTGGTTAGTTTTCGCGGTTTGGGGTTGTTTAGGGTTGCTGCAGGGTTGCGTAGGGTTTGTTTCGGGTTGGTTTAGATGTGGTTTACAAAGGAAACCATCCACAGCCACAAGCAAACCTCATTGTGCCAAGCAACAGAAAGTGCACTGGCAAGATGGGCACACCATCTCAGGGCAAATCCTGAGCTCACACTGGAGGCAACTTGAATCCACCGCTTCGCTTCGCTGCTGCCTTCAATTGAGGTGCTCTCCACCAACCGTCGCCGGCTTGCACATCTGCGCACATTGGGGGCATTCTCGCACAGTCTTGTCCTCGCCTGACCCCAAGCACTTTACACAGACTGTCTTCTGCAATTCACACTCATGACGGGCGTTTGTCGCACGCGTGCTTTTGCCAGTATGAAAGGCCAAGCAGCGCATCTGCATAAAGCGCTGAAACTTCCTTTGCACATGAAGCAACCTGCTTTATCTTCAAAACTATGTGTACACACACACACACGCACGGAGACAATATATACATATATATATATATTTACATGCTGTGAAAGGTAAACATGCACACACACACACACACAGACGTTCAGGCATGGAGCTTGAAAGAGTCCTCATCTGTTAATGGTCGGATCTCTTCGTTTCGAGCCCTTGCAGAGCAATCCACGTCACCTCGTCGACCACCTCAGCATGAATGATTCAACCAAACCATGCATCCATCTTTCGCATGATGTTGCCTGCGTAACTGCGACACCAAGTCTTCAACTCCCGTTGCAGAAGGCGTTGACGGTACTTCAAAATCGATGCAACTCATCTCAGCCAATGCCTGATTTACCTGTGCTGCACCCAGCAATGATTCCGTGTCATGCCTGCCGTCTTTTCTCGGGCGCGGCACAAGAGCTGCGGCCTGCATTCTGCAGAGCCAAGTTTGGCTGAAATGTTCGCAGCAACGCTGGGATCATTCCCAAGGCTTGCCTGTAGCTGCAAGGCGATCTTGCGGCAACTCCAAGGGCTGCGGGACATGCAAAGAGTTCGATGGGCAAGCATCGGCAATCCGTTGAAGAGCCGCGTGTGGAGGGGCCCAAAGATGGCCCCCGAATCCGAATACGGTGGTGCTTCGGTGGAAGTGTCGGCGGAAGTAAACATGTCCGGGAGCAAATGCCGGATGCACCAAACCTTTTCGCCAATAAGGGGTTCTAGTGTAGTGCATGCAGGAGCCCTTCAACGCAAGCATTGCCGGCATTCTCTGCCAAGCGCTGGGCTGGAAGCAGGGGCGGTTGAACACTCCCAGTTCATGTTTTCAGTCTCTGCACATCTGATATGCATTTTGCATGCTGCTTTTGCGAAGCCTCTCTGCTCCAGCACCCGGCACCGCGCTTCCTCACAGCCTGGAGCGGATCTCCGGCCAAGCCTGGTCCTGCGCATGGAGTAAATCCAAGACTTGAACATGCTTAGGACGTCCAAGCGAGCATCCAAATTGTTGTTCCTCTGAAACTTCTGAGAAAGCAGTGGTGATATGCTAACTGGCTGCCTGCCCACAAGAACCAAGATCCGTCCTGGAAGGACCAGCTCAGGACCTGCTCCAGGTGTTTCACCTCATGCAAATGGGTCGTATGGAAGAAGAAACTCATGCTCTGGAATGTGCTTTGAACAGCTACTGGTAGGAACTAGAATGGACAAAAGCGTTTGAATCGGCCAAGCAAAAGTAGGTGATGAGCCCAAACTCAAGGTCATGTCAGCGCACGATTCCAAAGTAAAGTACCTGACTAAACAAACCCACCCCCCAAAAATATGTTTGGGCCTCCCCAACACCTCCCCCGATTCAAGGCACCCCCCCTGCAGCCCCCAAGCCAAAAAACCTGTCAGAAAAGGGGCTTTCCTTGTTGCTTGGTATTTGCATAGTGTGCGTTGAAACCCACCAATCCTAGCCACTACTAAACCCCTCCAGTTCTCCAAATAAATGCGCTTCCCCCCAAATGCATCTATCTTACTAAAGTTTGTTTTAAGTGACAAGGCTTTCAAGCTCGCAAAGGGCCTTCTGGAGGGCCCCTCCTCAACAGACAGGTCCCCGCGATGAATCAAAAGTGATGCTGCCATTGAAGTCCCTATTGCCCAAAATAAAGGGGATCAAAAGGACAAGGATCGAAGGGGCTCCGATTCACGGGGGCCGTCCCAAATCGGTCCAAACCTTGTTGGCCGTGGGGTGCTCCCTTTACTAATTCGGGGGGGAGAGGCGGACATGAAGATGCTGCAGACAAGGGCGAACCCGCCGTGAAAGCTTGAGGATGCCGCCTGAGTAAGGGAGTCCAAGGTGAACCGGTTTGCAACAGAAAACAGCGAAAGCGAACAGACATGGGGAACAAGCTGGAGGATGAGCATTGAAAGGTAACCTTGAAGAGGGGGATGAGTAAAAATGAAAGCGTCTCCGCACGAGATCTGCTTGGCCTTTGGTGGGAAGAAGATCCAAACCCAAAATCTGCTTAGTAAATGCAGCCAACATGCAAACCTGACGTCCACCTCTGACAGAACCGCTTCCGGAATCTCATCCAGCACGTGCCGCTGATTCCCAAAAGGCACGATGACATGACGAATACCTGCACGATGTGCCGCGAGCACCTGGCGGATTCTGATGCCAAACCGGCCAAGAAGCGCCAGGCGCAACGGGCGCAAGCTGAAAACTTGCGGAAGCTCATCCTGCCTTCGAAAAAGTGGGTAGTGGGAGTAGGAGGTGGCTTGTTTCCCCAAGAGGAAAGTGGGTACTCAAAGCGCGCTCCGAAGGTTCTGACAAGGCATGATTGCCACTTTTCGATGGAATGCTCCCCGCCTTGTCGCGCACACCACCCACTGGGAGGACGTGACCCCGTAGCGTGATCTCCCCTGTAACTGCCGTGTCACTGCGTACAGGGCGATCCTGCCAGCGTTATCTTCAAACGATCGCAGACCCTGCAGGAAGCATATGGGTGTCTTTTTTGAGGGTACCCGTTTTTTGGGGGTCTTAAAAGACAACTAAAGCAAACCCCCCCTTTTTGGAGGGGCCCCGAAAAAAAACAGACCCGTTTGTGGCAACCAGGAAAGCCATGCAAACCCATCTCCAGCATCAAGGAGGCCAGCGCCAGCGTCGTCGCTACGCCCGCTGAGGGGCCGTCTTTGGGGATGGCGCCTTGGGCAAATCGGTGAGCCATCCGCACTGACCATGTCTGGGCTGGATCTTTTGAAGCTTTGAACCGAACCTGAGCTGAGTACAATTGTCGCCAAGTGCGATTCCACCCAAGAATCGTCACCCATTGATGTTGGATGTCTAGGGCATGCAACCTGATACAAAGGACATACTTACATCTGGCAAATGGCTGCTTGCGAGCATCACTGGGCAGCTGAACGCGAATCTTGACAATGCCAGTCACGCTGTCACACAAGAACCAAACTCTAATTGTAACAATTTGAGATGGGAACAACACTGGGACAAGAGCATGGCAAGGGAAAAACACACCGAACCAAGCCAATCCTCTGAATGGTCTGGCCTGAATTGGCTATTTGCTGCAGGCCAATACATGTTCGAAGCTGGCTCAGAACCTTCCTCAAACAGCTGGGGCATACTCTCTGGGCTGGGAAGACAAATCAATTCACTGGCATGATGGTGCTTGGTATATCTATCTGTCTGTCTGCCTAGCTATCTGTGTACCTATCTCTTCTATCTTTCTATATCCATTTATCTATCGCAAAGTATTGCGCCGGCCACGGGCACCCCCGAGACGCAAGTCGCAATGGCGCGGCGGCGAAACAATGCTAAACGCCGCAAAAGCTGCGATCTGCGAACGGGCTCAACGAAAACAACATGTTGCAAGCCATCCAAATCGCACATTCCATGTGATATGGATCCGTGCACCCAACAAGAACAAAGAACAAACCGAACAAACGTCCGGTAAAACACGCAAGCTCTTCATATAGGACCGGAAACCAAAACGTTGAAATGTCATTGCTTGTGCCCTGCGGCTCAGTGGTGGGCCTAGCCCTGCAGTGAGTTTGACACCTCCCAACACGTGCTGACCATCTAAAACGCTGCGCACAACAAAACTTGGTTGCTGTTGACCCCTCTGCAAAGAGTTTAACATTTGTGGGGCTTATTTCCCCAAAAGCTTAAGTCTAGAGATCCAACTCCATAGCCATCAATCAAACATGCATATATATATATATATAGCTGTCAATATCATTTTGCTCGACGTGTCGGTCGTTTGTTTGAAGTTGCCTGCCTGCTGGGAAATGGACATGGATATCATCTCCTCCGAAAGGATCCTCCTTCTTGTGCTCGCTCCTGCAGTTCTGGCGCAGCGAGAAAGCGATGATCCGTTGGGCTCTTTTGGCAAAAAAAACATCTGCCAGCAAGTGGTTTCCACCCAAAAGCAAGCGCTGTCTTCCCTCCTGGCCCAGTGCGCCAAAATGTTCTCGCCGCTTTCTGCTGCAAGCCTGGCGCCGAAGCAGAAGCAACCGCTTGACTTCCCCTCACGAAAGTCTAAGGGAAGATCCTCTGTTCCTGCGCGTGCGCCTGCCACGCCCAATACTTGACCAATCTTGTCTTGACGTGCGCACACATCTAGACAAACACCCTCACATGCAGACACACACACACACACACACGCGCCGATACATACACACACACAATATGAACACAACACACACACACACAGAGAAAAACACGCATACGAAGGCGCACAGAAACACACGCAGACACCAACGCACACACACACACAGACACGCATACGCGTGCATGCTTGTGCGCGCAGTCACGATCGCACACGCGTGCGCTCACACACACACACACATGCGCAGTCGCGAATTTGTGCAGCCTCCCTGCATTTGACGGATTTCTGGAGCTTGCACAAATCGAGTCGGGGCGCATCCTCCCTAATGCTTGCCAAAGCAACGCTGCCAGAATTGATCAAACAAGTTAACTTTTACATTCGCCGCCCGCTCGCTCGCACTACTAGGGCACGCGCCCAGACGCGCAAGTACCCACTCAGGCACACTCGTGGCCACACACAAACAGACAAACATGCACTAAAAAACACATGCGCAAACACACACACACACAGATGCAGATAGACATAAGTCGATGCACGTGTTTGACTCATGCATGGCACCTGGGCGGCGCGTGGCTTTCGCCCAGCGCGGCGTAGTAGACTCGGCTGCGCAGCAGGGACCTGAAGCACAAGCTGCTGGAACCCTCGGCTCGCAGCTTGGCCCGAAAGCTTTCGGCAGCCTTTTGCTGGTGATTTGGGGGCGAAAAACACTGAAGGGATTCTTCAATAACGGGACATACACACAGAAACAAATTCGCGAGCTCAAGAAAAGGGGGGGTGCGACGTGGGCCCAGAACTTTGTACCTCCCTCCAACAGTTGTAGAAATGTTTGCCCAACAGCAATGCTGAAAGACTGTACATCGCGTGCTACAGCTTGAACAATGAGTTTGGAACCTGTGCCGGTTTGTTCGGGCGTTAAAAAACACAAAATGATCCGCCCAGGAGCATGAAGCGGTTTGCTAATCCCAAGAATTCCGGATAGCGGTTTTCATTTCACACAAAGAGGGGGGAGTCCCGGTTTGGAGACTAGGGAACTTGTATTGATACTGTTTGTGGCGCACGTCACAGGACGCCATCCTGATGTACTAAGAAATAGAGACTTGCTAAAGT